TAAAAGCTATTTTCAACAAACTCACTGCCAATAAATGGGATCTAATTAAACTTCAGAGCTTCTGTACAGCAAAAGAAACAATCATTAGCGCGAACCAGCAGGCAACAGAATGGGAAAAAAATTTTGTGATCTACCCGTGAGACAAAGGGCTAATATCCAGAATCTACAAAGAACTAAGACAGATTTACAAGAAACAAACAAACAAACCCATCCAAAAGTGGGTGAAGGATATGAACAGACACTTTTCAAAAGAAGACATAAATGAAGCCAACAAACATATGAAAAAATGCTCATTATCACTGGTCATTAGAGAAATGCAAATCAAAACTACATTTAGATACCATCTCATGCCAGTTAGAACAGCGATCATTAAAAAATCTGGAGACAGATGCTGGAGAGGATGTGGAGAAATAGGAACACTTTAACACTGTTGGTGGGAGTGTAAATTAGTTCAGCCATTGTGGAAGACAGTGTGGCGATTCCTCAAGGATCTAGAAATAGAAATTCCATTTGACCCAGCAATTCCATTACTGGGTATATATCCAAAGGATTATAAAGCAGTCTATTATAAAGACACATGCACATGCATGTTCATCACAGCACTGTTTACAAGAGCAAAGACCTGGAACCAACCCAAATGCCCATCAGTGATAGACTGAACAAAGAAAATGTGGCACATATACACCATGGAATACTATGCAGCTATAAAAAATGATGAGCTTGTGTCCTTTGTAGGGATATGGATGAACCTGGGAACCAACATTCTCAGCAAACGGACACAAGAACAGAAAATCAAAATCACACATTCTCACTCACAGGCGGGTGTTGAACAATGAGAACACATGGACACAGAGAGGGGAGCATCACACACTGGGGTCATTTGTGGGGGGCCAGAGGAGGGATAGTGGGAGCGAGGGTGGTGAGGGATAACATAGGGAGAAATGTCAGGTATAGGTTATGGGGGTATGGAGGGAACAAACCACCTTGCCGTGAATGTACCTATACAACAATCTTGCATGATCTGCACATGTACCCCAGAATATAAAGTACAATTTACAAAAAAAAAAAAAAAAGGATCATCAACCATGATCCAGTTGGGTTTATCCCTGGGATGCAACAATGGTTGAACATACACAAATCAATAAATGTGATACCTCACATTAATAGAATGAAGGACAAAAACCATATGATCATCTCATTAGATAAGGAAAAAGTATTTGACAAAATTCAGCATCCTTTTATGATAAAAAAAAAAAAACTCTCACCAATTTAAGAATAGAAAGAATGTACCTTAACTTAATAAAGACCATATATAAGAAGAAGACATAGGAGGCTGAGGCAGGAGAATTGCCTGAACCCAGGAGGCGGAGGTTGCGGTGAGCCGAGATCACGCCATTGCACTCCAGCCTGGGTAACATGAGTGAAACTCTGTCTCAAAAAAAAAAAAAAAAAAGAAGAAGACAAAAGGGTGCCCACTCCCACCACTTGTATTCAACATAGTATTGTAAGTCCTTGCCAGAACAATTAAGCAAGAAAAAGAAACAAAAGCATCCAAACAAGAGAGAAGGAAGTGAAATTGCCACTATTTGCTGACATAATCTTATCTATAGAAAGTCCTACAGTATTCACCAAAAAACTTTTGGGGCTAATAGCCAAATATAGTAAAGTTTCAGGGTACAAAATCAACATACAAAAAAAAACCAGCAATATTTCTACATGCTAACAACAAACTGTCCAAAAAAGAAATTGAGAGAACAATCTTATTTACAATAGCTGCAAAAAAAAAAAAAAAGTGGCAATAAATTTAACCAAGTTGGTAAAAGACCTGTACATTGAAGACTTGGAAACACTGATGAAAGAAATTAAAGAAGACACAAATAAATGGAAAGATAATCCCCATGTTTATGAATTGGAAGAATTAATATTGTTCAAATACCCATACTGCCCAAAGTAATCTACAGATTCATTGTAATCTCTATCAAAATTCCAATGGCATGTTTCATAGAAATAGAAACAACAATTTAACAATTCTTATGGAAGCGCACACACACACACACACACACACACACACATACACACACAAACTCAACAGGCAATGTGATTAGGAGCCAAAAGGACAAACCTGGAGACATTATACTACCTGATTTCAAACTATACTATGAAGCTACGGTAATTAAAACAGCACAGTGCTGGAAAAAATAAATAAATAAACACATTGACCAATGAATCAGAACAGAGAGCCCAGAAATCAACCCTCATCTGTATGGTCAATTCATTTTCAGCAAAGGTGACAAGAATACACAATAGGAAAAGGATAGTCTCTTAATAAATGGTGTTGGGAAAACTGGACAGCCACATGCAGAAGAATGAAATTGGACCCTTATCTCACACCATATATAAAAATCATTTCAAAATGGATAAAGACTTAAACATAAGAATAGAAACTGTAAAGCTACTAGAAAAAAAGGGGAAAAACTTTATGACATTTATCTGGACAATGATATTTTTATTTGACCCCAAAAGCACACACAACAAAAGCAAAAATAGACAAAAGGGATTACATCAAACTAAAAAGCATATGCACACCAAAACCTTATGCACAATTAACAGTGTGCAGAGATAACATACAGATTGTGAGAAAATATTTGCAAGTATGTGTCTGATAAGATATTAATAGCCAAAATATAAAAGGAACTCAAACAATTCACTATCAAGAAAACAAAAAATCCAATTAAAAAATGAACAAGGGACCTGAATAGATATTTCTCAAAAGAAGGCATACAAACGACCAACAGACATATGGAAAAATGCTCAATATTGCTAATCATGTTCAATGCAGCACCATTAACAATAACCAAGTTATGAAATCAACCTAAGTGTCCATCAATTGATAAGTGGATAAAGAAAATGTGATATATATAATGAAATACTATTCAGCCTTTAAAAAAGAAGGAAATTAAGAAAATTCTGGCATTTGTGACAACATGGATGGAACCGGAGAGCATTATGCTAAATAAAACAAACCAGGCAAAGGAAGACAAATGCTACATGTTCTCACTCATATGTGGGATCTGAAACAATCAGACTCATAGAAAGAGAGTAAAATGGCAGTTAAATAGGCTGGGGGTAGGGGGAATAGGAGATGATGGTTAAAGGATACAAAATCTGAATTAGGCAGTCGAAATATGGGTTTTTTTAGATCTATTGCACAGAGTGGTAAATATAGTTAATAAGGTATTGGACATTTCAAAATTGCTAAGAACAAATTTCAGATGTTCTCATTGAAAACACTTTTAGCCTGGGCATAGTGACTCACACCTGTAATCCCAGCACTTTGGGAGGCCAAGGCGGTGGATCACCTGAGGTCACAAGTTCAAGACCAGCCTGGCCCAACATGGTGAAACCCCATCTACAAAAATACAAAAACTTGTTGGACATAATGGCAGATGCCTGTAATCCCAGCTACTTGGGAAGCTGAGGTGGGAGAATCAATTGAACCAGGGAGGCAGAGGTTGCAGTGATCCCCGATTGCGCCATTGCACTCCAGCCTGGACAACAGAGCCAGACTCCGTCTCAAAAAAAAAAAAAAAGAAAAGAAAAAACCTTTTTAAGTATTTCAGGTGATATCTATGTTAATTAGTTTAATTTAATTATTCCACATTGTATTCATAAATAATAATATCACATTTTATCCCATAAATATATACAATTATAAGTTACCAATTTACAATTAAAAATAGAAACCCTGGTGGAGAGACAGCACTCTTAGCTGGGCCATAAACTTTTATGTATTTATTCGTTTATTTATAAACTTTTTTAGAGTAGTTTTAGGTTTACAACAACATTGAGAGGAAAGTAAAAAAGATTTCCCATATACTTGCTGCCCCCTTACATACCTAGCTTCCCCGATTATCAATATCCCTACCAGAGTGTAACATTTGTTATAATCAATGAACATATATTGACACATCATTACCACCCAAAGTTCATATTAAAGTTCACTCTTGGTGCTGTACATTCAATGAGTTTGGACAGATGTGTAATGACATGTATCCACCATCCTAGTGTCATACATAATAGTTTCACTGACCTAAAAATCTGCTGTGCTCTGCCTATTGATTCTACTTCCCACCCCTAACCTCTGTGCAACACTGATCTTTTTGCTGTCTCCATACTTTCACCTTTTTCAAAATGTCATATAGTTGGAATCATACCCTATGTAGCCTTTTTAGATTGGCTTTCTTCACTTAGTAATATGCTTTTAAGGTTCCTCCATGTCTTTTCATGCTTGATAGTTCATATGGACTCATTTTAATACTCATCATGAATACTGCCAACATCGCCTCCTGGGATGGAGGCTGGAGAGAACTTGGGTTCTAAAATTATCCTTGGTGCTAATGCAGCCCATAGTTCCCCAAGCAAGCTATAGACAAGACTGTGCTGAGTATTAGAGGGGAATCTGTGGTCATGCTGGCTCCATCCAAAACAATGGTTGTAAAAAAAGGATCACCTCACCCTTTCTAGGTAGATGCCAGAGTAATGCTTCAGGAAGTGAGAGCCCCAGGCTGGGTATGGTAGCTCACACCTGTAATCCCAGCACTTCTGGAAGCCACGACAGGAGATCACTTAAGTCCAGGAGTAGTTTGAGACCAGCCTGGATAACATAGCAAGACCCCTTCTCTACAAAAAATTAGAAAATTAGGCAGGCATGGTGGCATATGCCTGTGTTCCCAACTACTTGGGAGGCTGAGGTGGGAAGATCACTTGAGCCTGCGAGGTTAAGGGTGCAGTGAGCTATGACCATGCCACCACACTCACTCTGAGCAATAGAGTGAGACCTGACTCAAAAAAAAAAAAAAAAGATTTAAATGTTTTTTTTAATCTAAAAGTGAGAACCTTACTTCCTGTGGGAGGGTGGAGGGGTAGGATCAGATCAGTGTAACAGCTCAGCTCTGGACTTCTTTTTACTAATGATGTGGCCTTCTCCTGGGGTCCCACAGGGAGCTCAAAGAGGCCCATGAAGCAGAGCTCAATGAGTTGGAGAACAACTACAAAGCAGCCTTGAAGGCGGAGAAGTTGGCTGCCCAAGAGAAGCTAGGTACTGCTGGGACCTGGGAGAATGACCCTGGATGAAGGTCCAGGCAATCGTATTTCCAATAAGCTTCTAGGGTCATTTCTGGGACACATAAAGGTTTTACCACCTTGGTGATGAGCTTGGGGTGGGGAAGGTGTGCAGGAGAGCTCACATTTGAATTTGAAAATGTGCATATCAGAAGACTAATGATGACCCTGTTGTTTTCCTTTTATCCAGAGGAGATGGGAAAAGAATACAAGTATTTGAAGAATATGTTTCGTATGTATCAGGTGAGATACAGAGCTCCCTGTTGGATTACAAGAGAAGCAAGGCTCATTTCTGGCTGATAACATTGGGTTGAATCTAGAGCTCTTGTCCAGAAAATAATATCCTGAGATTCTCAGCATCCTTGGACCTAAGTGGCACTAGCTGCACCCAGGGGGAGGATGAACCCAATGGCTTCCATGAATGACAAGTCAGGCACCCAAATTCTGAAGAGCACTACTGAAAAATATGTTTGTGATTACAAAAGTAATAGCTTCTTATTTTTTTAATGGAACTACAAAAACCAACAATAACAACAAAATATCACCACCCAAAGGTAACCACTGCTAATATCTGCACTTTAGAACTGTAGTTGAGATCATATTGTATATTGTATAACATCTATATATATCTTTTTTATCAGGCATATAAGAAACTTTTCCCTCCTTTTTAATGACTAGATATTATCCTAGCAAAATTGCCATTGGGTTCTAAAATTTTACTGTTCCCCTATTATTGGGCATCTGAGTGGTTCCAATTGCTTACTGTAACAGATAATACCACTTTGAGTATCTTTGAATCTAGAAGTAGAGTGCTTGTTCAAAAGGAATGAACTTTAAAAAAAAAAGTCAACTTTTATTTTACGTTCGGGAGTAAAGATGGGGGGGTTCACCATGTTGGCCAGGCTGGTCTCAAATGCCTGGCCTCAATTGATCTACCTGTTTGGCCTCCCAAAGTGCTAAGATTACAGGTGTGAGCCACGACACCCCACCTATCCCAGAGATTTTGATAACTTGTGTCATTATCATCATACAATTCAAAAAATTTTTAAATTTCAATCTTGATTTCATTGTTATCCCAGATATCATTCAGGAACAGATTATTTCATTCAAAGCATGGAGTCCTCCTGTCATCTCAGAATAAAACTCATCAATTTAATCAGCTAATTTGATGAAGGCACAGGAAAAAAAGTTAGGGCATGATTTCTTAGAAGGTAGATGAAGAGAGTTAGGAGGTGGGTAGTAGGGTTGGAAAGGACTGAAGCCTCAAGCCTTCATCCTATTTAATTGTAAAGTACAGTGACCAACTAGTTCTAGTTTGCCTGAGACTTTCTAGGTTTTAGCACTGAGAGTTCAGAGTCCCAAAACACCCGTAAGTGCCAGGCAAACAAAGACACTTGGTCAACCTATCAAAAGTTAAACACCAGTATCACTTCTGAAATTCTATTTACCACTTACGGTTTAAGTTTTGAGCCTGTGTCTAAAACTCGTTTTTTAAGATACTCCTTGGTATAATCAGGGAAAACATCACAGAGCAAAGCCTTAGATATGTGAGTGGTAAATAGAATAGGTTGGGTGTGAACCCTTCTGCGAACCTAAAAAAGAAGGTAGTCAGCATCCTTAGACCCTATTAGCAGCATCAGGTCCAGGGCCTTCTCCATCCTAGGGTTCCATGTTCATGAAATCTGAGCCAAGCAACAGGACTGATATTGGATTAGGCTTATTTAACGTCACCCACAAAAGAAAGATTTACTGAGAAAAAGCAGACATTCTCTGAAAAGCATCCCCTTATTTTCTAAGTGTTCAAATTAACTACTAGGCATTTCCTTTCTTCTTGTGCTATTGAAGAGGGATTTGTGATTCAGGGGAGCTGACATATGATTCCTCAACATGGAGAACTCCACCTATCTTCAAAGGAAGCTCAGTTCTAGTGGGGCAATCCCTTGACCTTTGGGTTCCACAAGCCCTCTGCTGGGCTGGAATTTACTTCTTACCAGTCACCCATGGAGGAGCCCCTCAGTGAGGGCCCCAGGTAAGGGAAGATGCACAGAACACAGTGCTGGGCCCTGCCCACTGTGCGGTGTCAACTCCCTGAGTTGAGTTTTACAGCCTCTCCAGGTCACCTTTATTTTAGGACTCTTTTCTTCATGGCACCTTTGTACCTCCACAGGACAGTATTTATGATGAAATGGAAGAGAAGTGGTCAAAACAGAAGGCAAAATGGGAGAAGGATGAGAAGTTGGAGCGAGAAAAGGTCCTGCTACAGCAAAGTGAGTACAGAAACTCTAGCTTTTTTGATGACAAACGCATTAAAAAACTGCCATGAAGTTTGGTTGTGACTTGAGGAAGGTGGCTTACCAAGGGTGATGGGCCACTTGTTAGGTACGTGAATGGAACGTGCCCAGAGTTTCCATGAAAGCAAAATGACAACAAGGCTAGGGTCTTTGCTGAAGTTCAGACATCTTACCTAAGAGAGTCTAAGCCTGTACCTTCTGAAACTCATTTGGTCCTTGCCCATGATGGCTGAAACAAATGCTAGAATCACTGTACGGAGTACAGACTTCTTATCTAGACACAGATGAACCCAAAGTTCCAAGAGTTCTTTAATTAGAATGTGAAATGTTCACTTGCATGTGGGAAGCGGGCAGATAGGAACAACACAATCCATTATACTAAGAGCTTCTATATTCCCATGTCTTCCAGAGGGAGGCCACGCTTGGTAAATATTTTTAATATTTCCAACAATTAACACAGAGCTTGCATCATACAAAGTACTCTGTAGGTGTACCTCCCACTCCCACTGAGCTTGTTCATAAATGCAAAAAAGAAGAGAATTTGTGGAGGCTACGCCAGGCCTAGAAGACTAGTTGAGGTGGGAGTGGGAGCTCTATAGACCTATTCCACATTCTACGCCAATTGCATTCATCTAGATTTAGTTGATTTTAACAAATTACTCATTTAAATGCAGATACTCCATGGGAAAATTAATTCACATTCTGGTGGGCACTCTAGACTGCCAGAAGCTAATATGAAGACCCTGGAGTTAAGGCTGGGGAATGGGATGGGGAGCTGCTCATGTTCGGGCTTTACCTAGAATCCTGGTGCAATAGAACCCAAGTCGTATCCCAGATTCTAGCTACTCATATGACTTTCATCTCATGTTGTCAAAGTCTAAGTAAAGATGTAACTGCCAGTTCTGGAAGACCAGAATTTAGCTGCTCACCATCCAGCCCTGTCAGAGGCTTACCCTGTCTGACCAGAGACTCCCTGTCTATCCCCAGAATTCTGATACTGAAGAAATCTGTGTTTCCCTTCGCCCCTCCTTCCGCCTATTTGATATTGGGGCTCTACTGGCAGGTTTCCTTGCTCAGGAAAACAGTTGAAGCCTACCTATACTCCAGCACTAAGTACAGAATGAATTTTATTGCTGGCAAAGTCATGTTAGCCAAGAGCTTTAAAATAAGGATATCCAAGATAGCAGAGTGGTTACATCAGCAGAGGGAATGGACAAAATAATAAACAACAGATTCAAAATAAACTACACACAAAAGAACCAGAGATGTTGGTGGTAAATCCCATGTGACTAATGTGATTGAGGACAACCACCACGCTTACCTCACCCTCAAGCACCTCCAGGTGAGTGTCAGAGGCTGAACACCAGGCTGCAATGACCTTGAGTCTGACCCAGTCTGGAATTGCTTTTATCTTCAGATATTCTAGATTTCTCATTGCGCCTGCTTTTCCCGTCTTTACACATATATGTGCTTTCCTATCACTTCCACAGAAAAAGAGATGACCAAAAAATTTGAGATGGAATCAGAAGAAGAAAAGAAGAAAATAAATGAATCCTGCAGTGCTGTCTTTGAGAATTTCATTCAAGAGAAGGAGGTAACTCAGCCCAAAGCACCTTGGTGACTGAATCTGTAGTCCAGGTGGTATGCCGAGGTCCCCAGGTGTGCCTCCATAATTAGGTGATCTTTTTGTCTTTCTGGGCATAATCCTCCTCTCCTAGCTTTCTGGAAATGTATGCAAACAGACTGACAGTCTTGCTGTCCTTTAACTGGACAATCTTTCCACAGCCTAGACAGTCTTATCAGAGTTCTTAGAACAAAACTTATAATTAACTGGAAATAACAGAATGCTAAACACACAGAAACTGAAATTCCTTATTTTGCCAAAATCTGGTCTCTGAATATCCTTCTCATTCTTCACTGTAGCTGTATAGCTGTAGTACTATTACTGGGCACTAGGGTAGATAACAGGTTTAACTTTATAGGAACTTACCAAACTATTTTCCAAAGTAGTTGTACCATTTTATTCTTGCATGTTAAATATATTGGAATTCTAGTTGCTCTACATCCTCCACAGCAATTAGTATTGCCAATCTTTTAATTTTGGCCATTCCAGTGGGCATGCAGTGGTACTTCATTATGGCTTTAGTTTCCCTGATGACTAATTATGTTGGACATTTTCTCATATGTTTATTGGCTCATTTGTATATCTTCTTCCATAAAGTGCCTGCTCATTCTTTTCCCATTTGAAAAAGTAGAAGGTGCTTATATTTTTATTGTTGATATGTAGGAGTACTTTTTATATTGTGGATACATTTTTTTTGTCAGATATACATGTTATAAATATTGTCTCTCAGCCTGTGGTTTGCCTCTTCATTTTGTTAATAATATATTTCTATGTGCAAAAGTTTTAAAATTTGATGAAAGGCAATTATTATTTTTTCTTTTGTAGTTACAGATTTTTGTGTCCTCTCTTTAAAATCTTTGCCTATTCCAAGGTCATGAAGATACTTTATTTTTTAGAAGCTTTAAAATTTTAGCCTTTATGATTCTATGATCCATTTTGAATATTTGTGTATGAAGTGAGGTACAAAGGTCATGAGTCATTTTTGTCTGTGTGGATATTCAGTTGTCTCGGCACCATTCTTTAAAAACACTTTCTTTTCCCCATTGAGTTGTTTTAGTGTCTGATACAGTTTGGATTTGTGTCCCCACCCAAATCTCATGTCAAATGGTAATCCCCAATGTTGGAGGAGGGGCCTGGTGGGAGATGATTGGATCATGGGGGCAGATTCTCCCCCTTTCTGTTCTTGTGATAGTGAGTTCTTAAAAGATCAGGTTGTTTAAAAATATATACCACCTCCTGCTTCTCTCTGTTCCTCCTGTTCCAGTTGTATAAGGCATGCCTCCTTCCTCTTTTCCTTCTGCCATGATTGTAAGTTTCCTAAGGCCTTCCCAGCCATGATTGCAGAACTGTGAGCCAATTAAAACTATTTTCTTTATAAATTACCCAGTCTCTCAGGTAGTTCTTTATAGCAATGTGAAAACAGACTAATACAGTGTCTTTGTTGTTTTGGGGGAGATCGGATTCTCCATTCTGTTTAATTTTACTATTTTTCTATACTTAGTTCAACAACACATTGTCTTAACCACTGAAACCTGAAATCGGGTAGTAAAGGTTATCTAGCATTGCTATTGTTTTTCAAGATGATTTTGCCTTTCCACATTCTTTGTATTTTTACATAAATGTTAGAACTAGCTTGTCAATTTAGAATTAGCTTATCAAGGAAGCTTGCTGATATTTTGATTGGGATTTCATTGAATATAAAGATCAATCTGTGAAGAAATTAATTCTTAAGAGTATTGAATCTGTACACTGACATAAAAAAAGCTTTTGATGAAAATACAATTTCTTTTAATATTTGTCAGTGTGATAATGTCGAACATAAGTAAGATTTTCATTAACTTCAACATGTCATGTCACTAGTTTATAGTGTGTGCTTCTTTATAGCAGTGTCTAAGATTTGGTGAATATTGTATTCCTGAATCCTAGACTGGCTTTCTTAACTCCCTAGAAGATGTGCCAGAACCACAGTGCTAACCTTTTCCAAATAAAATTGTTTTTAGGAGCTCTTGAAACAACATGAAAGTGACACCTTGCAATTAGAAAAGCTGAGAAAAACCAAAGAGGTAAGCTTTTTCATCCTTTCCTGTGGACTTCGTATATTACAAATACACCAGTAAAATAACAGGCTCTCAGTATAATGGAATCAATAGTTTCCCCAAAACCAATAAGAAATGGAAGCCCTAAAGCTGAGTTTACTGGATTCAATAAGTTAAAAATAATTTTTGAAATTATCTTTATTTTGAAATAAAACCAGTGGGTCTTTTTAAAGTCTAATTTGAACAAGTATATCAGCAATATACTGTGTGATCTTCAATGCTGAATGACTTTCATTTCTAGCCAGATTCAAACCACAAATGATCTTTGAATCATAAAACACCAAGTTTTTCCCTTTGAGCTCTGAAAAGTATAAAACTGTCTCCTGTGGAACTGTCACCAAGCCTCTCCTTAAACTCGGAGTGTACCCCACACATGACAACTTCCTCAGGGATTCTATTCTGAGACAAATTAAGGCAGTCTGTAGGAGACAACTGAAGAGAAGCTGTTCAAACCCACAAGGTGATGTGTGATTCTTCCGTCACAGAGAATTTGATTTGGATCCAGAATGGACATGTTTTAGAAAACATTAGTCATTATAAAGGCATTATAAATGAATTCTATCTTAGCGCCCACACAGGGCTTCAGCATTATTGAAAGGCAAACATACTGTAGTGTCCTACAAGTTCAAGAAATGGGCTTTGGAGGCAGGTATACCCAGTGTATTATAATAACTATTTTAATGAGCTTGTCTACTAATTCTGTCATTTGTTATGTCTGGATCTGTTTGTCTTCATTGGTTTTTCTCCTCATTTATGGTCATATTTCCTTGTTTGCATACCTGGTAAATTTGGCTTGGATGTCAGCCATTATGATGTTTACCTTGCTGGGTGCTGAACATTTTCATATTCCTTTAGATATTCTTGAGCTTTGCCCTGGGATGCAGTTAAGTTGCTTGGAAACAATTTGATCTTTTCGAGCCTTGCTTTCTAAGCTTTGTTGGGCAGAATTAAAGCAGTTTGTAGTGTAGAACTAATTTCCCCCACTATTGAGGTAATACCCTCTGAGTACTCAGCACCACACCCTCTGTACGAGAAGGATTTTCTACCCTGCCCGGTGGAACCATGAACTATTACCAGCCCTGTGTTGGCCCTGGGGATTGTTCCACCTGCTCCTTGCTGGTGGTTCCTTCCCCTAACCTCAGCTCTTTCTATTTCTTCCCTCCATCACTCTACCCCAGAGGCACTCGCCTCCTTGCTGTTTCCTTACAGGCCAGGATGCTATCTTGGGGTCTTTGATATTTTCTCTTGCTGAAAAGCTCCTTCCCAGATAGCCACATAACTAACTTCCTTTCTTCCTTCTGAGTTGAATTTTTCTGGTCTTTATTCAAATGCCACCTTCTCAGAAGCCACCCTATTTAAGGGTTCAGCTCCCTGCCCCGACATTTGCTTTTCTCCAAATGGGACACCACTGGAGGTTTTTGAGGAGGAGAATATCTTTTGGGAAAATAACTGTGGCAGCAATGTGAAGAAGAATCTGAAGAGGCAAAATGATGGGAGGCAGGACCTATTAGAAGGGTCAACTCCCATTTACACCTCAATCTCTCTTCTGCTCCCATCCCAGCCATGGAAACTGTCAAAATCACAAGTAACTTCAGAGTTGCCAAATCCGAGGAATACTTCCCCTTACTTGACGTGAGCAGTATCAGGTGCAACTGATCACTCTCTCCTTGCAACATTTACCTCTCTTAGCTTTCATGGGCTTTGGTGTTTCCTTCACCTCATACTACACTACCCCACCTCACCACCAGTTTCCTCTATTATTAATATCTTGCATTGGGGTGGCACATTAGTTGCAATAGATGAGCCAAGGTTGATGGTTTGTTGTTGTTGTTTTGAGATGAGGTTTTGCCCTTGTTTCCCAGGCTGGAGTGCAATGGTGCAATTGGCTCCCGACAACCTCTGCCTCCCAGGTTCAAGCTATTCTCCTGCCTTGGCCTCCTGAGTAGCTGGTATCACAGGCATGTTCCACCATACCTGGCTAATTTTGTATTTTTAGTAGAGATGGGGTTTCTCCATGTTGATCATGCTGTCTCTGTAAACTATGGTTTACATTAGGGATCTGTCTTTGAGTTGTACATTCTATAGGTTTTGCCTAATACATTATGTCGTGTATCCACCATTATAGTGTCATACAGAATAATTTCACTGCTCTAAAAATGTGCTCTGCCCCACCTATTCATCCCTCCCTTTCCCTCCCAATCCCTGGAAACCACGAATCTTTTTTGTGTCTCTATTTTTGCCTTTTCCAGAGTGTCATATAGTTGGAATCAGTAGTAGGTATTTAATAAAGACTTGTTTAGTGAATGAATAACTGATTGCCATTGTAACCATTTGTAGGAGCTCTAGTGAGGCTGAAGAGAAGGATATAGATGGGTGAGACAGACAGGAGGTAGACTGACAGGGTGTGATTGGCCATGAGTGATGCAGGAGTAGCTCAAGTTGCTCCCTTGCATTACAGTCCAGGTGCCCTGGAGAAGAGAATAGACAGATAGACATTGGCATGATGTCCTGAAACAACTTCTTCTTATGCAGGTCATAGAGGAAGAACTGCAGATGCAAGCTTTTATCCTAGAGTCCCTTAACACAAATCTCCACTATACCCAGTTGGAACTCCAGAAAGAGGTGAGTCCCTGCTGGAGTGGGGGTGGGGGTTGAGGGAAGAAGCCAGTTCTCCGCATAGCTCTGCCATATAGCTCTGCCCTGGATGGCTCTGGGTTGGGGAAGATACTATTAAAATGTATGTCTTTCAGAAAGCTACAGTGGGAAATCTGGAGAAAACGCTTCAGACCAAGCTTGCTGAAGCTGAAGAAAAGTATAAGTACACCATACAGATCCTGACGGAAGAGAACATTCATCTGAAGTGCGGCTGCTGCTGAAACAGACATGGCTGAGTTCTCTTTAGGAGTGGGAAGGAGTCTGAGTGAGAAATGGGTTAGGAAGATAGGACAGGTGCTCCCTAATAATGTCAAGGCATGGGCGTTTTCCAGGAGGGAGGTATGTCACTCTAAGCCAGTGACACAAAGCCGAGGTGGAGTGGTGATGTGTCTAGACTTCTCCCATTCACCTGTGTCCTTGTTTCTATGCAAAACAACACAGGAAACACAACACAGGAAATGTATCTGCCAGTTTCTGAGTTTGCTCCGTTCCATGATTGAGGGTGGTTTTTAAATTCATCTCCCCTGAGAGTTTGGTAGTCTTACCATTACATGCAGCTGCTTCTGGTTCCTATGGAAATCCGCTTTGGATCAGAGGTGTACTGTTACTTAAGCTGCATCTTAAATCGTGCAAATAAATTTTGGTCAGTTTTTTAATACAGGAAAGTTATTTATTGCGTTGATTCAGTAGAAAATTCCTCATAGAGGACTTTAGTCACCTAAACACCCTACCTCGCTAAATTCAAAACCACTGCAAGGAATGAGTGAGAGACTGCCATGGTAAAGGAATGAAGGCACATTTCTCTCCCCGCCCCTCAAATATCCTATACCTTTTCTAGCTTTTGAGTTTATATTGATACATCTTTCCTTTCTTTTTATAGGCAAAAGATAATGTCTAAGAATGAAGAAATTTATGAAGGATGTTCTGGGAGATTGGCCCCTGTTACTGTTTCTAAGGATGATTCTGACACCATGGAAGATAGTAACAAGAAAGGACAAGAATCACAAACAAAAAGCTGTTCTCCAGGGTTGAAGATGGTAGGCACACCATTTCTGTAGGCCTAGGAAACTCCTGTGAGGGTTTTCTTGAGAAAATGCATATAATGAGTTTAGTACTTGGGTTGCTCTGATTCTATTTTTGCTTTCTTCTGAGTGACTGAAAATGTTTGAATTCTCATCTGAATTTCACAGCTTATCATGAACACTTCATTGAAAAATGACACTCTCTGTACCGGGAGCTGAGCTTTCTCTGAATTTTGTACTATTTTTCTTCCACCCTTACATATTTCATTAGAAAGAAACTGATTTGAAGGCCTTCTTCCTGTTGAACTTTTACTATATTTGGGGCTGTACTTTTGTCCCCTGGGGCATTTAGGTCACAGAAAAAAGATTATGTGTTGATTTTATTCTAAAGCCTTTTTCTCTCATACCCAGGCACCCTACTTCCCCTATCTCTCAATCATGTTCCCTAGCCTATGACTTAGGAAAAGTTTCTGATGATTCTTACCACCTTATCTGGACCATCACCGGAATTCAGACACCCACAGGGCAGGCAACATAAATAAGTAGAGTAGGCTAGACATAAGGAAAACAATTGCACAAGCACAGTGATCAGTGGCAACCCACAGCAGCCTCAGTAGAGGGGCTTGGGCAGGGCTGGGCACAGGGGGTAGGGAAGAGTAACCCACAGAGGGCTGTCCCATCTGAAGAAGGTGCTTCTCAGACCTTTGCCATGCAAGAGCATGAGGTCAATATTGTCAGATATTCTGATTTTTTTAAAGAACGTATTCTGGTGTTTATGTGATAACTCCCAATTTTTAAACATTGATAACCTCAATATGTGCCAATAGTGGGAGACTCAAGTAGAACATGTGTGTGGTCCAGATGTTTTCCACCTGTGAGATGCCATTGGCAAAAACCAAAACCAAACACAAAAAAATCTCTGAGGAGCAGTAAGATCAAATTATACTTTATTCTATTAAAAAACATTTTTGAAAAAAAGATTTTTAACTTTTAAAGATAACTTAATTCCTAACAATTTAAAATAATGCAAGCAGAGATATTTTCTTTTTCTTTTCCTTTTTTGTCTTTTATTTTCCAAGCAGAAATGAAAGAGCAAATGCAAATGTGTGAAAAGACCAGATCATTGTTGCAAAAAGCAAATACAGTTAGCTGAGCATGTATATATCACAAAAGCAATAAGAAGTCAAAAGCTAATTTGGGGGTAGATTATTTAAAATTTATAAAACAGTTTGAATTTTTAAAAGATTTTAATCAAATTTTGTTTTATTTAAAAAAAAAATTTTTTTTGAGATGGGATCATGTTCTATCACCCAAGCTTGAATATGGTGGTGAAAACATGGCTCACTGCAGCCTTGATCTCTAAGGCTCAAGTGATCTTCCCACCTCACCCTCCCAAAGTGCTGGAATTACAGTTTATGTGTACTTTTTAAAATTTTAGTGTTGGAGAGTTTAAGTGGAAAAAGAATTAAAGTTAATAGAATATTAACAGTGGGCTTAATGTTGATAGACAACAATTTGAACTATCAGCCCTCTATATTCATAGCTGTATTTTGTTGGCTTCTGGTATTTATTGCCACCAGCCAAAACATTCTCAAAGCCTTAGGCAAAAGAGAAAGGAGACAGTGTTATTGTTGTTAATATCCTATTAACTTTAGCTCTTAAAAAAAGTGCAAAACAATTAATAAATTATAAGAAAATCTAGAAACTCAGTAAATAAACATAGTGTTATATATCTAAATGGCACCATCAATCAGAAGAGAAAACAAGTTTTTTTCTTAGTGTGAAAGTAGGCTGCGGCATCTGCTTCCCCATGTTTTTCTTATCATCTTTGTTGCTGACTTCATAGTTCACTTCAGTCAGGATGGTGAGAATATCATCGCCTCTGAAATACATCACATAACATTGTGACTATCTGTGGGGGGAAAGCAACTGATGAACTGTTTCCTCTGCTGTGCTCAGAGATAGTTCTGTAGTTTTTTCTCTCAAAATATCAGTTATTTGATACAGTAAGTTGCTAAGCCAAGACCTACCCCAGCTTCGCAAGTAAATGAGTTATCTCAGAGCTTAATAGCTTCCTTTAGTTTATTCAGGAACTCTGTTGACCATCAGAAACCTCGGTGTCAGTATTAGAGTTGGTTTCTTTCTCTCCTGACCTGTGTGTATCTCACTCTTCTCCGTGTTACTTGGCTCCCACCATTGCTTCAGTGCCCCCCAATATTCTCTGCCTCAAACTGACATTGCATCTGTGGATTCATCTTTTATGCAATTAAACTTAAGGCACCTGAAAGTAGAATGTCTCCTGCAGCCACTCCCAACTTCTTCTCACCAGGATCTTTTAGCATTTTTGTTTGGGCAACCTCTTCTTCTACCTTGGTAGCTAGCCCCAGAAACCTTGCAGGATTCATGATCTAAGTTACAAAATCTAAGTTAGATTCATGATCTGAGTTATGGGAAATTCTCACTCTTCATATACTCAAAACACGAAATACAGGGCTAGAAGGAATGTGCTACTTATCTCCCACAATGAAAGACGAGGTTTTGAGAACGGTTTGCTATTATAGAACTTTTGACAGAGTTGGACAATGTTAAACATTGAAGTGGGTGACTGCCTTCTTGGAAGATTCCCAAAACTAGTTGAATTGGCTCAGTCGTGTTTTAGCCTAAAGACAGAGAGCTGGACTATATGACTACCGTCCTTTCCTGCTCTGTGATACCCTGATTGTCCTTTGAGGTACTGAATAAAGGAATAAAGCAACTCAGCTTGTCCATCTATAAACTAAGGATGTTAGCAATTGCCACTCTCCCCCTTTGCAACTGACCTGGGAAGTACACCTATGTGATCCACAGCTAGACATTTAGAGATGAATAGAAACGACTCCCCTTGGACAGTTCTCTGATCTGTTAATGTTATTTAAACCATAAAGCATTTTCTAATCGGCTCTGAATATGAGTAGAGAGTAGTGGTGATGGAGTAGGTGGGGGAAGGTAGTGTAACAGTGAGGAGGGCTGGGTAGGCAAAACTTACCGAGGACATCGTTCTCTCAGGCTCTGGCAAAGTGACTGGATATACCAGGTTCCCTCCGCAGGGTTTCGGTAGGAAACACAGTTATTCACAGTGGCCATCCCCAGTAGAAAGTCAGCCTCATCTGGGATATATCTCGTCTGAGGAGATGATAAGTCCATTTCTAAATAGGATTGCTCCTCTGAATCAGTCTCAACAGGTATACCTTTCTGGTAGTTATCCCCCTGACAAGCCTGAATAAAAAACACTTTTGGTTTTCCAGCAAGGGAAGGGCACTTCAAACCAGTGAACTGAGATGTCAGCTCATATATGCGGGCCTCACGTCCATCTGTGCCGTAGATGATGCCCTTGTCTCCATGGGAGAGGATACAGCAGATAAAGCAGTCCTTGTTACTGTGGTCCATGCGTTGGTAGGATTGCAAAATCTCAAAGATATTCTCTGCTGTGCAGTCATTGTAGGGCCTGATATCAAAATGAAGCTCTTTAAAGGTCTTGCTCAAAGCCTCTGAAAAGTGAAATTTGAAAAGACATGTTATACTACAGTAATTCACAGACCAGAGCTGGAGAGCACACTTTGAACCAGAAATTCAAGAGCAAAACCCTCTATATTAGCAGCTGGATTCTGTAGGCTTCTAATATTTATTGGCACCAGCTAAAAACATTCTCAAACCCAGAGGCAAATGAGAAAGGACAGAGTGTTATTGTTGGTCTGTTTTCTCTACTAAACCAGTTTACAGGATGGGTAGGCTATCATTTAGGGTTACTACTGAACTAATTTTTTAAATGACTGTATTATTTATATAATCAGAAAAAAACAATTTTTGAATAAAAGATCCAACTTATTTTATCACTAAACCTTCTCAAAGTTATATATATTTAGCAAAATAAAAGATATGAATTGAAAATAAAATAGAACTAAAAGACCTTTTACAAAAAGTTATCTCCTCTCTATCCCTCCCTATTACCTAGTTATATTCCATGAAGGCAACCACTTTCAGTTTTTAACCACTTTTTTTTTTTCACATTAACCTCCATTTTGTAATGAATTTGGGTACCCTGCTCATTACTCATTTACGAATTTTAAACTTTTGCTTTGAGTTCTTATCATGGAGAATAAGCATTTGGTGCTCCTGTGCAATTATTTACAATCTTTGGTTGAATCCATAGTAATATTTTAATTTTCTATTTTTTTAGACAAAGTCTCACTCTGTCACCCAGGCTGGAGTGTAGCGGCATAATCTCAGCTCACTGCAACCTCTACCTCCTGGGTTCAAGCAATTCTCCTGCCTCAGCCTTCTGAGTAGCTGGGACTACAGGCATACGCCACCACACCCTGCTAATTTTTGTATTTTTAGTGGAGATGGGGTTTTGCCATGTTGGCCAGGCTGGTCTTAATTCCTGGCCTCAAGTGATCTGCCCACGTTGGCCTCAAAAAGTGCTGGGATTGTAGGCACGAGCCACCACCTCCAGCCCATAGTAATATTTCTATTTTTAAGTAATATTTCTATTATTAAGACGATGTAAACATAATGTTCTTTCATCATGTTTCCTTTCTTAATAACCTTTTTGCCTTTCCTGGAATTAGTAATTGTCTTATGTTTCAATCTGCTTTGTTTCCTATATGCTTAACATTATTTTTTCTCCAAATGCTCTAATAGATCTGGTCAAAATCTTTCAACATTTTCAGGCTACTTGTCTGACTCATTTTTATTTCCTCCTGGAAAACTTCCCACCCAGAGCACTGCATCATTCTGCTGTAATACTAACTGGCTGCTCCACAGGCCAGATGAATGTCTCTTGTCCTGGAACATCTCTCTGTTGCTTCCGTAGTAGATTCCCTGTTTCCTCCATCTATGACTTCCCCTTTCTTGTTAGTTTCCTTTACAGGAGCATAACCACTAGGGCATGCAGAGTACAGTTTTCAGCCTTTGTATGAGTCTTTACTTCTATTTTCATACTTTTAAACAGTTTACCTAGACATAAGAGTTCTATTTCCAAAAGCATTTTTCCTTAGAACTCCAAAGGCCGAAGGCCTTTCTTCATAGTCTTTTAGTTTTCAGTGTTGCTAGAGAGAAGACCTTTTCATTCCTGACACTTTATGTATTTGGCTTTTTTCTCTTTCCAGAAGCTCCTAAGGTATGATATGTTTGGAAGTGATTCTTAATCCATTATACCCTTTCAATCTGGAGATTGCATCATTTAGTTCTTGGAAAGTTCAATTTCCCCCATTTTATCTGTCCTTTCTTTTTGGAACTCTTATTGTCAAAAATTGGACATCCTTGATTTAGCTTCACATTTTCTTATCTTTTGCTCCTGTTTTCATTTTTGTCCTTTTATCCTACTTTCTGAGACTTTATCTTGAATTTTCAAGGAGTCTTTCTTGTTCTGTCCCTTTTTCATGACATCTTGTTCTTATGGACTTTTACTCTCTAAGAATACTAAATACCAGTATTAAACACTAAAAAAGGTCGCTTTTTTCTCAACATTATCTTTGTTTTATTCATATTCTGTTTCATTTTTTTCTTGTTTGAACTGCCTCTCTTTTTATTTATTTATTTATTTTGAGACAGAGTCCACTGTCGCCCAGGCTAGAGCACAGTGGAATGATCTCAGCTCACTGCAACCTCCACCTCCCCAGTTCAAGTGATTCTCCTGACTCATCCTCCATAGTAGCTGGGAATACAAGCGCCTGCCACCACACCCAGCTAATTTTTGTATTTTTAGTAGAGACAGGGTTTCACCATGTTAGCCAGGCTGGTCTTGAACTCCTGACCTCAGGTGATTCATCTGCCTCAGCCCCCCAAAGTGCTGGGATTTACAGGCATGAGCCACCTCACCCAGCTGCCTCTCTTGTACTAGAGGCTTTCTTCAAATGCCTGCTGACCTTTGGTTGTCCATTCATAAATTGACTAGCCCATTAAAAAGTTGACTGAAAGCTCTGTGTTTGTGGATGTGGTTTGTTCGCTAATGGACTTCATAGCAGGATGATTGGTTGGGGACCTGATCATTTTGTTAGGAAACCTGCAGATGTGATTATCTTGCCTTTCCACTGAGTCCAGATTGGCAGGTGCACTACGAGTCATACACATGGTGGAAACTGGATCCTGGCAACGAGGAGACACAGACGCTGGTTCGAGAGTACTTTTCCTGGGAGGGGGCCTTCCAACATGTGGGCAAAGCCTTCAATCAGGACAAGTCTTCAAGTGAATGTCTCTTGCCATCACCTAACTGCCTGCACCTGCTCTTCAGGGAGATGGGGGTCATTTATCTAGAGCTTTCAGCTTCTCCAGAGGTAAATCTGTATCTGCTACCAGTGTTCTTGGAACCGAGTTGGTTTAGAGATCTGATTCCATGCCACCAATAGGTTTCCTTCAATCTCTCTGTGTTCAGTAAAATGTTTCATGGCTTCCTTTGCTGGGCCTAGTACACCCAAGTGTAGAGCCTCTCTGGTTCAATGCTATGAGAAAAACTTCCTATTCCTTATGATGGTAGAATAAGAATACATGCTGGCTCTATGATTAGGGGTTTGAATCTGAGGATTATATAGGCTTTCAAAGAATCGTCCTGTTTTCTACTCATTGCCTCACCTACACTTAGTTCCTCCAATTGCTGAATTTTTCCAGGATTCTGTGGGGTAAATAGGCTTGCCTCTTTTCTGTGTTCCCCTCTGTAATCAGTTAGGTTGTAGCTTTCGCTGTTAAGTCAACTACCTCTACTCTTTTTTTTTCAACTCCCCCAAATTGCTGTAAACCTTTAATTAGCTATTGTCTCCATTCCTGTTCGCTTGATCCTTGTTGGATTATTCCTTTTTTATTCCTTCTCCAGCATTTTGTCCCTGTCAGCACATCAGAGCTGAACATAAGCCATCAGTCAAAATACAGTCTCACCTCTATTCTCTGCCCAGCGGCTTACTTTGCCACAGCACAGAGAACCCCACCCCCTTTCTTTGTGGAACCGCCATGGCGGCTGAGACCCTGAACACGTATGCTGAAAACTGGAGGGCCTTCAAGGCCCTCGCCGCTGCTCAGCACAGCAGGGCTCAGGTCTGCAGGCGCTCCACACCACACCACTTCCACTTTGGCCAAACCAACCGCACCCCTGAATTTCTCCACAAATTTCCTGCCAGCAAGGTTCCGGCATTTGAGGGTGATAATGGATTCTGTGTGTTTGAGAGCAATGCCACTGCGTACTGTGTGAGCAATGGGGAGCTTCCGGGAGGTACTCCAGAGGCAGCAGTCCAGGTGGCGCAGTGGGTGAGCTTTGCTGATAGCGATATATTGCCCCCAGCCGGCACCTGGGTGTTCCCCACCTTGGCCACCATGCACCATAACAGGCCACTAAGACTGCAAAGGAAGAAGTGAGATGAATTCTGGGGCTGCTGGATGCTCACTTGAAGACGAGCACTTTTCTGGTAGGTGAACGAGCGACACTGGCTGACATCACAGTTGTCTGCACCCTGTTGTGGCTCTATAAGCAGGTCCTAGAGCCTTCTTTCTGCCCGGCCTTTCCCAGTACCAACTGCTGGTTCCTCACCTGCATTAACTAACCCCAGTTCAGGCTGTCCTGGGGGAAGTGAAACTGTGTGAGAAGATGTCCCAGTTTGATGCTAAAAAGTTTGCAAAGATCCAACCTAAAAAGGAAAGAGAAGGGCTCACGGGAAGAGAAGCAGAAGCCCCAGGCTGCGCAGAAGGAGGAGAAAAAGGCGGCTGCGCCAGCTCCTGAGGAGGAGATGAATGAATGTGAGCAGGCGCTGGCCGCTGAGCCTAAGGCCAAGGAATCGTTCGCTCACCTGCCCAAGAGTACCTTAGAGTTGGATGAATTTAAGTGCAATTACTCCATTGAGGACACATTCTCTGTGGCACTGCCATATTTCTGGGAGCACTTTGTGGTTTTGGTTTTTTTTTTGTTTGTTTGATATTTTTGAGATAGAGTCTTGCTCTGTTTCCCAGGCTGGAGTGCAGTGGCACGATCTCAGCTCACTGCAACCTCCGCCTCCCAGTTTCAAGCAATTCTCCTGCCTCGGCCTCCCGAGTAGCTGGGATTACAGGCACCAACCACCATACCCAGCTAATTTTTTGTATTTTTTTTTTTTTTAGTAGAGACAGGGTTTCACCATGTTAGCCAGGATGGTCTCGATCTCCTGACCTCGTGATCCACCCACCTCGGCCTCCCAAAGTGCTAGGATTACAGGCATGAGCCACTGTGCCCGGCCTTTGGGAGCACTTTGATAAGGACAGCTGGTCCCTGTGGTACTCAGAGTATCACTTCCCTGAAGAACTCACTCACAACTTCATGAGCTGCAGTCTCATCACTGGAATGTTCCAGCGACTAGACAAACAGGAAGAATGCCTTCGTCAGTGTCATCCTCTTTGGAACCAACAATGGCAGCTCCATTTCTGGAGTCTGGGTCTTCCGAGGCCAGGAGCTTGCCTTTCCGCTGAGTCCAGGTTGGCAGGTGCACTACGAGTCATACACATGGCAGAAACTGGATCCTGGCAACGAGGAGACCCAGACGCTGGTTTGAGAGTACTTTTCCTGGGAGGGGGCCTTTCAGCATGTGGGCAAAGCCTTCAATCAGGGCAAGATCTTCAAGTGAATGTCTCTTGCCATCACCTAGCTGCCTGCACCTGCCCTTCAGGGAGATGGCAGTCATTAAAGAAAACTCAACATTGGGGAAAAAAAAGACAGTCTCGGCTGAGTGTGGTGACTCATACCTGTAATGCCAGCACTTTGGAAGGCCGAGGCAGGTGGATCACCTGAGGTCATGAGTTCAACACCAGCCTGACCAACATGGTAAAACCTCATCTCTACTAAAAATACAATTAACCAGGTGTGGTGGCACATGCTTGTAATCCCAGCTACATGGGAGGCTGAGGCAGGAGAATCACTTGAACCTGGGAGCCAGAGGTTTCAGTGAGCAGAGATCGCACCATTGCACTCCAGCCTGGGCAATAGAGACTCTGTCTCAAAAAAAAAAAAAAAAAAAAAAACAAACAAACAAACACTCTAGCATTAGGAATAGAAAAAGATAACTGAAATGCAGCAGGTCGTTGTTGATTTGGAAGCACTTTGGTAAGACGAATACAGTATGTTGGTTCTGTGGAAAAATTCTGATCCTTTGGAAATGTGGGATGTTGAAAAAAATGACTCTAAAGCAAGTCTGAAGGCACTGCAGAAGGACAGAAGGGAGTATCTCAGGAGAAATGACTTCTGCAGCTGGGTCTGCTACTTTTACTTATCCAACATAAAATATAAGAACAGGAAGAGAAAAAGCAGGACACACAGACTCGAATGCCTACCAGAGACTAGTCAATCCTAAGCCAGTTATAAACTGCCAGAAATAGGATCAAATGTTATTTTAGTAGAAATGTTTTCATATTAAAAGAATACAAATCAAGGGCCTGAAATGTTTTCTTCAGTACCAGGCACAAAATGACAAATGATGTAATCAATGGACTTAATCTCTGTGGCTTTTTAAAGCCTTAGATTTGTTTAAATAAATAAATCAAATGTTAACAGGGGCCAGGTGCAGTGGCTCATACCTGTAATCCCAGCACTTTGGGAAGCCGAGGCAGGCAGATCGTTTGAGATAATGGAGTTCAAGACCAGCCTGGACAATAAGGCAAAACCCCATCTCTACTAAAAATACAAAAATTAGCCGGGTGTGGTGGTGTGTGCCTGTAGTCCCAGCTACTTGGGAGGCTGAGACAGGAGAATCACTTGCATTGGGGAGGCAGAGGCTGCAGTGAGCCGAGATGGCAACACTGCACTCCAGGCTGGGCAACAGAGTGAGACTTTGTCTCAAAAAAAAAAAAAAAAGAAAAAAAAGTTAATATGGACCATTACAGGGCCCTAATGAGTATAATCAGTCTACATTAATTTTCTAACCTTACCTCCACTCGCAAAACAAATCAATAATTGATGTTATGCCTCATGAAAACTATTTTCAAAAGTTCTTTGATCAGGCCAGGCATGGTGGCTCATGCCTGTAATCCCAGCACTTTGGGAGGCCGAGGCAGGTGGATCACCTGAGATCGGGAGTTCAAGACCAGCCTGACCAACATGGAGAAACCCTGTCTCTACTAAAAATACAAAATTAACTGGGCATGGTGGCACATGCCTGCAGTCCTAGCTACTCAGGAGGCTGAGGCAGTAGAATGGCTTGAACGCGGGAGGCATAGGTTGCAGTGAGCCAAGATCGTGCCACTGCACTCCAGCCTGGGCAACAAGAGTGAACTCCATCTCAAAAAAAAAAAAAAAAGGGTTCTTTGGTAAAATCAAAATTATAATATCTCAATGGTTGTGTTGGATGACTTTTATTTTTTGTGTTTTAGTCACTTGTTATATTCACATACAACAAATTGTTTTTCATTTAACTTGTAAGTTCTTGATCTTAGCTTAAATAGGCTGAGCAAAAGATTTGCTAGCGAGTTTAATATTTAATACTTGAAAATGCTACTTCTGTTAAGAACCCACAATTTCTGCTGCACTTAACAGCCCAACCTGTAAAATGCAGCCTCTATAAGAGCCTTGAAACCCGGGCAATTTTGTCACCTAATGCATTCCACAGAAGCACTATTCATTTAGCTGAATTAAAAACAAAGCTTAATGTTGCTTTTCATTATGTCTTTTAGTAAGATTTGATATTTTATATTTATACATACAATGCTTTTACTTAAAAAATTAATTTTTTTAAAAAAGCAGGAAACTAACAAATAAATAAAAATGTTCTTCACCTCCACAGGGAAATATGTTTAAATCCATTTTCTTGAAACATGCCCTTTTGGTATAGCTATTCTCTCCCTTTTGATTTAAAAAAAAAAAATAGGCATAAGAAAATGTTCTCTTTTCTCTTTGGGTTCTACCATACCTGCATCCAGGTGTGTTCCATTCCTATCCTTAATGCTGTGGAGTTTGGGCACTTCCTCCCGTGCTTTGCGAAAATCATAATTGTTGATGATCAGACAATATCCCCGAGGTTTTCTTTTCATTTGGTAAACTTTGTCCGAAGTCTGGAAAACAAAAACCCATTCAAGAGCTGACTCTCTGAGTCAAACCCTACAGATGAAAACAAACAACTCCCTAATAAGAAGTTAGCTTACTAATAAGCCGGCTTACTTACTAGCTTACTAGTAAGCCAGATGAAGAAGCAAGTTTGCTTTCCATTGCTCCACCCCAACTTGGGGTCATTTCCTTGAAGAACTAGTTTCTACCTATTTCCTTCACACAGGACCCCTCAGACTTCCGCCCCATAGTTGTAAAATCAGCGTCCCAATACCTGGGCCTCCTGAGCACTTTGCACATATATTAATATTGTTGTCATCATATTGTAGTATTGTGTGTTCTCATTTCTGCTTCCCATACTATAGAGAAGACTCCTTGAAGTCAATAACTTCTGTGTCAGGCACCACAGAGTATTAACTTGTGAGAGCTCAATCAGGAGTTACTGAAGGAATGAGTGTCTTTGGGCTGCCCCCACGCCATGACCTTGTGATTCTCTTGCCTGTCTACTGAACTCATCTGTGCTTCCTGGCTAACAGCTGAGGGTCTCCCATTCATGCATTGCACAGTGTGGTCCCAGGATTTTAAAGCTGATGGCTTAACCAAGCTCTCAGGACCACAGTGGCTGCTGGGGAGAGATGGGCTGCTCAGGCAGGTCCTGGCTACACTGTAGGTTATAATGTCCAAACTGTAGTACCTGACAGTACCTGCCAGGGATGGCCCTGTGTCCTACTCATTCTCCTAGGGCTGTTTCAGTGCTGAGATACTCAGCATTTAGTTGGAGGTCTGCATAGCCCTCTGAGGTAGAGAAAAGGGCTCCAGGCTAGGAAGCCCAATGCCTGGTTCTACTTCACTTTATGACTTTGGGCAAGTAACCTGATATCTTAGTATGTTAACTCTAAGATATTAAATATTTGATTAAGTTTGCACCAAGTATGTTAAGTATTTATTATTTGCTATTAAGTGTGCTAAGTAGTTATTAAGCATATTAAGTGTATTTACTGAGATAATAAGACACTAAGATTTGGCCAGGCATGGTGGCTAGCACCTATAATCCCAGACTTTGGGAGGCCAAGGCAGGAGGATGGCTTGAGGCCAGGAGTTCAAGACCTGGCTTGGCAACGTAGCAAGACCCCTGTCTCAATAAAACATTAAAAAATAAAAAAGATACTAAGACATTAAGACAGTGTTTTTAGCTGTTCAGTGGAGACAATGCTTGTAGTATGCGATACTGCTTAGAATGTACCACATTACTTGGATTAATCCTTGACTTTCAGATGAAAGAGGTCTGGTAATTTTCTCAGGAGCCCACACTAGTGAATAATCTCTCTCAAGCCTAATTCAGATATTCAGGATTTCCTCTTCTTTCTGCCAGGGGGAGGAGTAAATGGGCTAATAAGTCAGGGTGTGTTTGGTAGATGTGTTGGTTACATAAAGAGAAGTTATGCCTGAAAAGGGCATGTTTCTGCTGATTCACTGAGATGAAAACATAGAGATGGCTAGATTATGAGAGTTTGCTGCTTACACCTAATCACAAAGGAGAAGCATTTTTGAAATGTTAACTAAATGAAAAGGCTTTGCTTTTTCCAGTCCTGCTAGACTCTTTCTACAAACCCCTCCCTCATCCAGGCTGGCATAGCTGCTAGAAGATTTGGTAGGAAGGAGCCTTCCCACCCCCTCAAACCTCCAACTATGCCAGTATCTTCATCTTGTGTCTTATAATAAAATTCAAATGCATAGAAAACTGAAGGGGTCACATTATAAAAATTATGTCATATTTTTAACTTATTTTTTGTGAATTTTTTCTACAGTTCTCAAAATTTTCAATAAGCTTCTGCCCCTTATTGGTTTATCTGGCAGCTTAAAAAAAAAAAAAAAGAGCTAACAAATTCGATAACTAGAATCTGTAATACAAAAAGAAAAAGGATTTGGAGGTTTCCATTTACCTGTGATTCACTATCCTGTTCTCTTGGAGAGTCCGAGATTGCCATTACCCCAAACAACTCCTCTCCTGCAAACAACAAAGAGACACATTTAGAATGAGACATTGAGAATGAAATATGTAGCACCTAGGACAACATAAAGTCTTTTTTTTTTTTTTTTTGGGGGGGGGTTTTTTTTTTTTTTTTTTTTTTTTTTTTATACAGAATATTGCTCTGTCGCCAAGCTGGAATGCAGTGGAGAAGTCTCGGCTCACTGCAACCTCTGCCTCCCGAGTTCAAGCAGTTCTCCTGCCTCAGTCTCAAGTAGCTGGGACTACAGGCACACACCACCATACCCGGCTATTTTTTGTATTTTTAGTAGAGATGGCGTTTCACCATGTTGGCCAGGATGCTCTCCATCTCTTGACCTCGTGATCCACCCACCTCAGCCTCCCAAAGTGCTAGGATTACAGGTGTGAGCCTAGTCAACATAAGGTCTTTTTTAAGATGAAAAATCAAGCCAGGCACAGTGGCTCACACCTGTAATCCCAGCACCTTGGGAGGCCAAGGCAGGCAGATCACTTGAGCTCAGGAGTTCAAGACCAGCCTGGGCAACATAGCGAAACCCCATCTCTACAAGAAATACAAAAATTAGCCGGGCATGGTGGCATGTGCCTGTGGTCCCAGCTACTCAGGGGGTTGAGGCCAGAGGATCGTTTGAGTCAGGGAGGTCGAGGCTGTGGTGAGCCAAGATTACACCACTGCACTCCAGCCTGGAGGACAGAATGAGACACTGACTCAAAAAAAAAAAAATTGATTAATCAAAATTTTGAAGATCATTTAACCAAGGAACTTATGAAAAATAATTTAAATCCAGCTACTCAGTGCATAACACAAGCAGCACATGTCAAGGACAAACACACACACACACACACACACACATACACACAGTGAGAGAGAAAATGATGTTAAATTACTTATTATTGACTAACTCTGCACCTGTTTCAAACTTGCCAGCCTGGGCTGCAGAGTCTGTGCCTTGTGACAACTTTTCACATTATTCAATATATAGAGAAGGACTACAAGTCACCACTGAATTGTTATCCTGGTATTAGGAGAGTAGGCATGGCTAGGCATGGTGGCTCATGCCTGTAATCCCAGCACTTTGGGAGGCCGAGGCAGGCAGATCACCTGAGGTCAGGAGTTCAAGACCAGCCTGGCCAACATGATGAAACCCCATCTCCACTAAAAATACCAAATTAGCTGGGCGTGGTGGTGCATGCCTGTAATCCCAGCTACTCAGGAGGCTGAGGCAGGACAATCGCTTGAACCTGGGAGGTGGAGGTTGCCATGAGCCAAGATCGCACCACTAAACTCCAGCCAGGACGACAGAGCAAGACTCCGTCTCAAAAAAAAAAAAAGAGAGAGCGAGCAGTGCATGTGGCAGATGTGGTAGAAGGTTTTGGGGAGGATACACGCAGGTACCAGAGAGTAAATTAACTAAATAAATCTTGAAAATGTATCTCCAAGCATTACCATTTGAAGATTCATCTGAACTTCTTTCAAGGCTCATTCTTCTCTCTGAATTAAAAGAGAAACCACCAACAGTACTTGATTAGAAACAACTGTGACATGGAGGGATTTGTCAGTTTCAATTTTACAGTAGGTTTTGCCGATTCCCGGCTGTCAGGCTGTTTCTACCTTTGCTGAGGTATTCTTCATACTCGTTGATTATCTTCAGCAGGCTCTTGTTGATTTGGTCACAGACTCTTTTCAGGACATCCAACTTTTCTTCTCCCAGGATGACCCTCTTCTCCATCTCTATGAAAATATCCAGCAGGTTCTAGGAGGAGAAGAAATAAAGTTGGGAGTCTGGATTGAGCCCTATTGGTTTTTAGATTAGATTCTTTTTTAACTTCCACTTTCTCCAACCAAGGACCTGCCCTTTCTTCCCAAGCAGACCTCCTGACAGTTTCTGCTGGCCTCTCATAGCCAGCAGGCTACTAGGTAAGCAATCCCATGTTTTCTGGCCCAGAAAGACAGAAGTAAGAGGATAAAGGAGAAGCCATGTCAGATGTCACCCAGTCCCCAGGCCCTGAGCTCAAATCTCCTATGAATGCATTACCTGAGGACTGTGAAACAGCCCTAGACAGCAATCCAGTCACCATGGTGACAGCCTTGGGGTGGCCTCACCCCCAACATTGCCTCTCCAGACCTGAGTACACACAGACACATAGATACAGATATCACATGAACATACACATACACACACAGATGTACACAACACACACAGACAATATTCAGTGATACACACAGAGGCATAAATGCAAATACACACTATGCAACATGCACACAGACACATATACCACACAGAGAACACACAGAGATACACCATTTATACAGAGACACACAAAGATATGCCATGCACAAATATGGACACACTCTATACACAGAGAAAGGCACACACAGACACAGAGATACGCACACAGCACACAGACATACACAACACACACAGAGACACAACACACAGACACACTGTACACACAGAGTTCCAGGTCCCAGGTTATTTTGGGGACTGCAGAAGTGGGGAAATGTCTCAGATCACCACTGTCTTTTCCGCCTCTGCTGAGTCTCATTCTGGACTGCCCCTGCATAACCAGCCTCCTCTCCCGGCTCCTGACTCGGCCTTGCTACCAGTAATTAACATGAGCAGTACTTGAGGATAAAGGAAGCACATTTGTAACACTCGTGCTGACAGCTTTCTTCTTCTAGTTAAAAAGTGAGAATCCAGGTTGCTTTTACCAAAACAGCCCCTCTCTTTGGTCTCAGAAATGTCCCTGGCTAACCAAGTCTCAGGACTAAATCTCAGTAAGATACCAGATCTTACCATGTCATCATCCAGTTTGCATTTGGAGATCTCCTTTTTCAAAAGAAACTTAAAAGACCTCAATTCTGATCTGCTCACATCTTCTGAAATCTGATAGAGCATGACCCTGTGGTGGGAAATGGAGACACTTTAGAAACCTTTTCCTAAATAATTTCCCATTTGATATATGAAGTCCAAGTGGGCTTGATTCCAAAGGCCTCCTTTCAAAATAAAGCCAGTTAATGGCATGATTTACGAGTTGAGTCCTTGGAAAGAAGCAGGTATAGTGACACAGAAGTCTACGACTCCTCCCCAATTATCCCTCCCTTAACAATTTAAAATTCTATCAACTTTTCTTTCAGTTTATTTTAGTTAAATAAATCTTGTTTTCCTTTATTTTTTTTCTATGAAATCAAGATTTTGTTGCAATGGCAAAAAGTTTTGCCTGTTGGAAATTATGCTTTTCAAAAGACACATTGGCTTGTGACATCCCTAATTAGAATTGGTCAGTGTTCTCCCAGTCATTACCTTCAGTAAGAAGGCCAAGCATTTGGTTCTGGAATACAAAGTCTCTGAATACATCTTTATCACAGACCAGACCGCAAACACTAAAGGACCTGAAGCCCCAAACACACCCAGCTTGCCCTGCCCTCACCCCTTTCTGCTGTGCCGCCACACCCCATCCCCTTGTCTATCCGCAGACACCCATCTGTGAACAACAGCTCAAGCATTGCCTGAGCATCCTCAAGGCTGCATTCATTCCACTATGACTTAGTATCCCCAGAAGGATAACACATATAATTGTCTTTTGGCCTGGTGCAGTGGTTCACACCTATACTTCCAGCACATTAGGAGGCCAAGGCAAGAGGAAGATCGCTTGAGCCCAGGGGTTTGAGACCAGCCTGGGCAACATAGCAAGTCTCCATCTCTACCAAAAATATTTAAAAATTAGCCGGGTGTGATGGCATGCACCCGTGGTCCTAGCTGCTCCTGAGGATGAGGTGGGAGGATCACTTGAGCCCAGGAGGTTGAGGCTGCAGTGAGCTGTGATCATGCCACCGCACTAAAAATAAAATAAAAACAAAAAATAATTGTCTGTTTAGAAACTGTCCAAGTCCCTAATGGCCAGGTCCGTGCCCTTTTTGTTTTCATAAACCCAGAGGGTTGTGAGGTGCAATGTTTGAGTACAGGGGACCCAGGCTATTGGTGTTGGAGCCTTGGTTCTACCATCTTTGAGCAGCATTAACTTTAGACATGCTACATATTGTTCCTGATCCATAGACTGAGGATAATTATCTGTAACCACATCATAGGAAGGCATTGAGGATTACACAAATAAGTTTACGTAAGTACTGGAACCAATCTTTGACAACACACTAAGTGTTCAATGAGTGATATTGAACTCATTACTGTTTCCTAATCTATGCCTATCACATATATTTAGTCTGGCACATTTAGGCTCTTGGAATATGCTTGTTGAGTAAGTGAACACAGGGACATTTTAGAAGTCAGCAAACCTTTCAATATTATGGTGTAAAGGAAAACAATTGTAATACAGAACATGTTGACTTTAAAATTTAATTAGAAAGTAAAATTCTGAAAATAAAAATGGGGTAGAGCCAGGTGCAGTGGCTCATGCCTATAATCCCAGCACTTTGGGAGGCTGAAGTGGGCGGATCACCTGAGGTCAGGAGTTCGAGACCAGCCTGACCAACATGGCAAAACCCCATCTCTACTAAATATACAGAAATTAGCTGGGTGCGCTGGTGGGCACCTGTAATCCTAACTACTCGGGAGGCTGAGGCAAGAGAATCACTTGAGCCCGGGAGGTGGAAGTTGCAGTGAGCCGAGATCATGTCATTGCATTCCAGCCTGGGCAACAGAGCGAGTCTCTGTCTCAAAAAAAAAAAATAAAAAGACTTCGCAATTCTAGTAAACCAAAGCCATCTAGCATACTGGTTGAATAGTATCCTCCCCTCTTCCCTAAAATTCATGTCTACCTGGAATATGAGAATGTGACCTTATTTGGACAAAGGATATTTGCAGATAAAATCTGATCAAGATGAGGTCATGCTGGCCAGGTGCAGTAGCTCCCACCTGTAATCCAAGAACTTGGGAGGCCGAGGTGGGTAGATCCCATGAGCCCAGGAGTTCAAGACCAACCAGGACAACATTTCAAAACCCCATCTCTATAAAAAATATAAAAATTAGCCAGACATCGTGGCGGATGCTTGTAGTTCCAGCTACTTGGGAGGCTGAGGTGGGAGGACTGGTTGAACCTGGGAGGCAGAGGTTACAGTGAGCCGAGATCGCACCACTGCACTCCAGCTTAGGCAACGTACTGAGACACTGTCACACGCACACACGCACAAAAAGATGAGGCCATACTGGATTAGGGTGGACCCTAATTCCTAATCCAGCGACTGTGTCCTCATAAGAGGGAGATTTAGACACAGAGAAGGGAACATAGGCAGAGACTGCTGTGCTGCATCTACAAGACAAGCAGCACCAAGGACTGCTGCACCCACCCGAAGCAGGGAAAAGCAAGAAACAGATTCTTCCTCAGAGCCTCTAAAAGAGAACCAACGCTGTTGACATCTTGATTTCTGACTTTAGGTCTCCAGAACTATGAGAACAAATTTTTTAAACTGTTTTAAACCTGCTAGCTTGTGTTACTTCATTACAGCAGCCCTAGGAAACTTATACACCTTATAATGAGCCACTGCCCAGAATATCTCTTTCACCATTTAAAATCAAAATAGTCAAGCCTCGGCCAGGCATGGTGGCTCACACCTGTAATCACAGAACTTTGGTAGGTCAAGGCAGGTGGATAACTTGAGGTCAAGAGTTCGAGACCAGCCTGGACAACATGGCGAAACGCTGTCTCTACTAAAAATACAAAAATTAGCCAGGCAGGGTGGCACACACCTATAATCCCAGCTACTTGGGAGGCTGAGGCAGGAGAATCGCTTGAAACCAGGGGTAGAGGTTGCAGTGAGCCGAGATCACACAACTGCACTCCAGCGTGGGCAACACAGTGAGACTCTGTCTCAAAAGCAAAACAAAACATAAAATAGTCAAATCTCAAAACGAAACATAGTCTCTGAGAATAGAAAGACAAGGGTGTTCATGGGCTGGGCCATCAGAGGGCAGAGGCTGTCAGCCCTGGCTGCGAGCCCTTTCCGCCTCACATGCCACAGTTAGCAACAAGCAAGCAGAGACAATGAAATGGGTCCAGAGCAAAGGCTTAAGTAGAAGTCTCCTGAAAGCAAAGCTGAAATTGCTTTAAGGAGTGTCTGATAACAGGAGATGTTGAAAGGGAGAAGGTGACAATGTGTTTCTGTTTTTCAAGTCTTGTCCCAGCATCATGAAGTTGTACTTGAATGGGGTTTCTCTCTCCCACCTTTGGTTACCCACTCTCCCTAGGGTGGGGAGAAGCTAAGTTTTACAGATGACCCAAAGTGCCACTATCTTCCTGTAGAAGTTTAGAATTGTCATACAGCTGGGCTCACAGGAGCTAGGCAGCCTCTGTGAGGACTACCTAGCTGTATGTGCCCGGCCAACTGCATACAACTCTGTAAAGAACTTTGTCATTTGAGTCTTTAGGTGTGGCAAAAAAAAAAACCCTTAAATCTTGTTGAAAATTTCCATAGCCATCCACAAGCAAGTGGGAGGGGGATTTCAGGGTGGGAAGCCATGATGTTGGACTCTGGATGGGCAAAGTAAGCACACAATCCGGATATCAGCAAAGCAGAGGCACCAAGATAAGAGAGGAAGAACAAAATGAGAACACTTAGAAAAGCTTTATTATAACTTCAGCATGCCTCTAAGTAATGTTTCAGTTTGAAAAATAAATTTTTATTTTATGGTCTTAGCGTTTTTATGGAATTATACATACGGCCCCTAAATATCTTAATCTGGCTTCACTGGGACATCTTCCCAAAGCCTCCCAAGTGATACTGAATGTGGTTTCTCTTTGTTTACTCACTCTCTCTAGGGTGGGGAGAAGCTGAATTTTACAGCCTTTGGCAAGACCACCCAAGGCCCCACTGTCTTTCTGTAGAAGCCTAGAATTGTGGCACAGCCAGGCTCCCAGGCGCCAGGCAGGCTACCGCAAAGACAAGCCCCAATCAGCCCTGCCCACAGAGATTGTCCATTCAACCTACACCTTCCAGCCCCCACACTGGGCGTTTCTACCCACCTGTAGACAGAAATCTGAGCACAGCCTGGTGTCTGAAGTTTCCTTTCCATCTCCTCCTTGCTAGTGTCTAGATATTTATTCAGCAAATCCAATCTATTAATTCGGAAGAGCAGCTCCTTCAGGAAGGACAGATTACTTTCCTCCAACATTCTCTTTTCCTGGAGTCTCTGGAACAACATCAAGGCATCATTGATGGGTTCTTGCTTCCTTTGTGGGATGTAGTCCAGGCTCAGGAACTTGAGGGCGGCCAGTTCTTCACTTCCCAGTTCTTCCCCAATATCAAAAAGCATTTTGCTGAAGGCCATCTTTTCAAAAGGTAGGAAGATGCAATCTAAGTCAAAATATAATGGTATGTTCAGATAAGGAAGAAAAGAACCATTTGCTGGCTTGTTCATCAAAGGCTCCTGCATCTACTAGACACTGGTCATTGTGCTGTGAGCACAGGAGGGAAAAAAAGAACACCAGACAAGTTTCTGCTACTGTGTGGGATGGTAGATATACAAACAAGCCAGTGGTCAGAGAGGTACGACCACACTGCGGTAGGGGTGCAGAGGAAGAAGACTTAACTCAGCCTGGGGGAAGGGCTTCCTGTGGGGAACGGATTTGGGGGAGAATGTGAGAAAGTACAATTCTTGCAGGAAACAATTGATGTAAAAGATGGAGGTAAGAACTTTCAAGTCCATTCAGGCAGGCACGAGGAGCTCAATAAAGTAACTACAAAGGGTCTGGGACGGAGAGTGATGGGACAAAGGGATGAAGCTCTCTCTCGGTACCATGTCACAAAGGGGCCCATTACTGTCGGGCAAAGGGTTTAGGCTTTGCCCTGGAGGTGATGAGGAACTAGGAAAAAACTGTACAAATGAGAATGACATCACACATAGCATGGGGAGAAATGCCAGATATAGGTGAAGGGGAGGAAGGCAACAAATCACGCTGCCATGTGTGTACCTATGCAATAATCTTGCCTGTTCTTCACATGTACCCCAAAACCTAAAATGCAATAAAAAATAAAAAATTTAAAAAAACATTTAAGCCGGGCGCGGTGGCTCAAGCCTGTAATCCCAGCAGTTTGGGAGGCCGAGGCGGGTGGATCACGAGGTCAAGAGATCGAGACCATCCTGGTCAACGTGGTGAAACCCCGTCTCTACTAAAACTACAAAAAAATTAGCTGGGCATGGTGGCACGTGCCTGTAATCCCAGCTACTCAGGAGGCTGAGGCAGGAGAATTGCCTGAACCTAGGAGGAGGAGGAGGTTGCGGTGAGCCGAGATTGCGCCATTGCACTCCAGCCTGGGTAACAAGAGTGAAACTCTGTCTCAAAAAAAAAAAAAACATTTAAAGTACAAAGGATAGACTGGAAGACTTGGAGGCAGGGGACCTACTAGGACGTATTAGGAGGAGGCATTTGGGTGCTGGAGGGCGGGAGTAATGGGGTCTGATTGAAACAACAGTGGTAAGAGGACATGGGGCAGTGCGGTTCCCTAAAGGCCCAAGGACCAGAAGGGCCCAAGGACCGGTGCCTACAGCTGGTCAGGAATGCAAGACTGGAAACAACCAGGTCACCCTTGAAAGCCCTTTCAGCCTACAGAGTCTCTAAGTCAGGTTATGTGGTATTTTCACACAATGTTTCTAAAGGAGACGACTGTGTTTCCGCAAACCCCAGACAATTACCATGCCAGCGGCCTGAGACCTGGGGTTTTCCCTTCAGCCCCAAGTTCCACCACCTTGACAGATTTCTACCCCACCCTCCCTGTTCTGACGGCCCCTGTCCTTGGTAAAGGAACCCTAGGAGCGGTGTTTGTGCTCCATTCTTCATAGGAGCAAGACTAGGACATGGCTCCTCCTATCACAGGTGACAGTCATCGTAGGGGAAGGCAGCAGTGCCGTGTTTAAGAGCCTAGATCAAGCCCAGCTGTGATGCTGGCACTTTCTCAAGGTGTTTCCACCTCTGTAAAATACGCTCATCTCTCAAAGCTGCTGTGAATATATAACACCTAGAATGCATTTAGAATAACGCCAAGCAACTAACGAATGCCAAATAAATGTTAACCTGAAAGAAGGAAAAGCCCCTGGCCGTGGGGCTTAGGATCTTGAGCACTTCTCTCACCTCCCATTTCCTCAGCTGAAAATGTGAATGTACCATTGAAAGTGGCGGCTTTCAGACTCTTCAAAGCTGAAGAGCTCTTTGTCAAACACTTACTCAGAAGCTCCTTCACCCTTAAGAGTTGACCCTGGACCACTACCTTTTGAGAACCTTAAACTAAGAACCTTTCCATTCCCATCCAGCTCCATGATATTTCTGATTCCACAAACCCTATACTTTTGGATACTTTCCTTCCCCATAAATAACCTTAACCTGTTTGGACCCATTTTCTTGCCTGCAACTAGGTGGATGGGTTCTGGGTCTTTAAGCCCCTTGCATTTGCTAACATTCATAGATGAAAACACAAACCTGGATCCTGCCACTCAGAGGTAGCAGTCAAGGAAACCACGACTCATGTATTTTCTACATCTTACTCTAAAATAAAAATACTTTCAATTTGGACATTAGTGTAAGTCTAATTTTTTTTTAATTTCCATAGCTTTTGAAGGTACAAGTGGTTTTTTGGTTACATGGATGATTCTGTAGTGGTGAATTGAGATTTTAGTGTACCCATCACCAAGCGGTTTACGCTGCACCCAATATACAGTCTTTTATCCCTCATTTCCCTTAGGCTTTGTCCTGAAGGTGATGAGGAGCTAAGAAAGACTGTAAAAATGAGAATAATGTTATCCAATTGGGAATTAATATTCAAAGGGCAAAGGATAGACTGGAAGACTTGGAGGCAGGGGACCTACTGGGATCTATTAGGACCAACGTCCCCTCCAGCTCCACCACCAGTCCCCAAAGTCCGTTGCCTCCTTCTGCATGTCTTTGCATCCTCATAGCTTAGCTCCCACTTTTAAGTGAGAACATATGGTATTTTGTTTTCTTTTCTTTGAGATGCAGTCTTGCTTTGTTACCCAGGCTGGAGTGCAGTGTTGTAATCTCAGCCAACCGCAACCTCCTCCTCCAGGATTCAAGCAATTCTCCTGCCTCAGCTTCCCAGTAGCTGGGATTACAGGTGTGCACTACCACACCCGGCTAATTTTTGTATTTTTGGTAGAGACGGGGTTTCACCATGTTGGCCAGGCTTTTCTTGAACTCCTGACCTCAGGTGATTCACCTGTCTTGGCCTTCCAAACTGCTGGGATTACAGGTGTGAGCCACTGCGCCCGGCCCGGTATTTGGTTTTCCATTCCTGAGTTACCACACTTAGAATAATGGCCTCCAGCTCCAAGATTAAATATTTTTTAAATGGCCCTTTCAAAAATATCCTTTCCTTCCATTCCCTGAAAGAAAATTTTTAAAAAATCTTTTCCCCCTCCTGATTACAGCAGCAGTGGTTTTTTGTGTGGAAATGGAAACCACAGAGGCTCCCGGGACTTCAGCTTCTGCTTTCTGCTGCCCTCTTTCTTCCCAAGTCCTCAGTCACCCCCTTCTCCCACCCCACTGCCACCATGTTCGCTCCCTGCGGGGAGCTGGTCTCCAGCCATATCAGCATCACCCTCCTGATGGTAAATCACTTTCTCACTAGACTGGAAGCTCTGTGAGGGCAGAAACTTTTGCTAGTTTATTTTTTATTCTTATTTTTATTTTTATTTTTGAGACAGGGTATCACTCTGTCATCCAGGCTGGAGCGCAGTGGTGAGATCTTGGCTCATTGCAACCTCCGCCTCCCAGACTCGAGCCATCCTCCCACCTCAGCCTACTGAGTGGCTGGGACTACAGGAGCAAACTACTACAGACAGCTATTACTGGCTACTGTCTTAGGCTGCTGTCTTGTTAGTTGCCTGGGTTTTCCTGAATGAATAGTAATAGCCATCTTAGACACATTCAGTGTAGAAATAATCAGGTCTACTGCAAGGTGGCCAGCATTTCCAATAGATATGGCTGGCATGAGTCAATCGTTGCTCTAGGCACTGGGAATGCAGTAAAATAAGCCAGCATGGCCCAGGAGTTCAAGTCTACCCTGGGCAAAACTTCAGGTAGCAAGGCCCCAACTCTTAAAAAAAAGCAAAACCAAAATTGAAGATAAGTGATAACTATGCAAAATAATTCTAGCCTATTGACAGGCAAATTCTATCCTGTCCAATGAAGGTCCAATTGATTTCCCTTCCCCTCTTGTGAAAAAACCAATTTTGCCTCCATTTGTACAAATATTCCTGATTTAGAAATGTGTCTGATCTACAGATTCTCTTCTGAGCCAGCTATAACATCTCCCTGGTTGTCATTGGTAAATGAGTAGAATAAAATATTTATTATCTGTAAAAAAAAAAAAAAAAAAAAGCAAAAACAAAACCAAAACAAAACAAAAAAGAGTGGGTGGGTCATTTAGCCATCTCTGTCAAAATACAAAATTCACATATACTTTGGCCCCGTAATTTAGCTTCTAAAAGTTTTTTCCACATTCACTTAAACATAAGTATACCCAAAACCATATACAAGGCTATTCATGGTAGCATTCCTTGAAATAACAGAAGAGGAGAAATAACTGTTTATCAGTATTAGAGGATTTAGACAAACTATTAATCATAATCCATGGAACTCTATTTTACTAGAAAGAATAAGATCAATGTGATTGAGTGTGTGTGATCTACATAATGTCTTGATCGGTATATATTCTGTGTATTCACAGAAGAGCTCTGATAAAAAGCACACAGGAAGTGGCTTCAGTCACAGTAAAGAAAAGCAGAATTACAAACATGTGGACCTGCAGTGTGGGAAGGCCCATGAGTGGAGGTGACAATGAGAGCTGCTTTCTACTCCATATCTTGCTGCACAGTTTGTACTGTTGGAATTTTTACCATGTACATGTATTACTTATTCTAAAAATACACCTAATTAAAATCTTTATTTAAAGATTCATTCTTATTCATGCTGGAAAAGATCTAAACTAGATCTAACCCTGTTTAGTGTCATTAGGTCAACTGTCTTTAAAATTTTAAGTGCATTCTAACCTCTCTTAAAATCTCATCTTACAGAATAAAACCAACCAAAGAATCAAATGAAAGCAGGACTTCCTTTCCCCTGTCCCTCAATTATTTTTTTTCCTGAGGATAACAATGCTTAGTGTATTCATTTTAGAAAATACAGAAAAGATCAAAAGAAAGTAAAAATTATGTATAATTCCACCATCCAAGGATAAATGCCTAATATTTTACCCTTTCCTACCAAATATTTATGCATACACACTGTTCCTTATATTTGAACACATCATATTTCTGTAGCATAAGTAGATTTTTCCACTGATAAGTACATCTCGTAAATACATCCTGATGTCTGTAGTTTTTCATCTACAGCATGGGTTTTAATATTTGTAAAGCATTTAATCTTAGAGATAGACTATAATTTACATAGCCAGTTCCTAATTCTATTTAGGATGATCTTAAAACGCAAATCTTTAAGTTAAAGTTAACTTAAAGGTTTATAATCAGCCAGTTCGTGATTATATTTAGGCTGATCTTAAGATGCAAATCTTTAAGTTAAAGTTTAAGTTAAAATAACTTCTAATCATTTTCTTAGAATAATTTCCTGAAAGTAGTATTATTGGGTCAAAAGGAATAAACCTTTTATAGTCTCTTGTTACCTATTTAATAGCATTTTCTGATAGTATATAATAAAAATCAATACAATCCAAGGCTGAGATGACATGAATTCGGATATAATATAACTGGCCCATAGCTCCTGTCCTCCGTAGCCACCTCATCTCACTCATTTCATTACCTTTGCAACAATGTGACAATGCTTTTTAAGTGGTTTTCCCATCAAATCATAATGGACACTTAGAAGGGAAAATGCTAACATGGCTTCTCCTCTGACCTAGGTGCTCTGGGACACGCCGTCAGATAATAGTCAGCCTTTTCTGTTTTTTGGTTTTTGCTTAAGTCATACATCCCTCTAGTCATAGTACCTAGAAAACAGTCACTTGCACAGGATTTATGACACCATTAACAATGGGCCAGTCCAGTACTGTATGGGGAGAGGCATCACGAGGTGGTTCTTGTTTTATGGGACCTAGATTTTCTGCACTCCTATGGGCTAGAAACTTTGTTAAGCTAGTATTTTAAAAATAATGTCCTTGTAGTTTTTGGTTCCTAAAAATAGTAAAAGTAACACTTGTTTCATAGAGAAAATACAAAGTATACGAAGAAAATAAAAATTACTTAAAAAATTGCCATTTGGAAGTAACTCTTTGGTCACATTTTGTGCCTTTTCCCCCGTTTTTTTTCACATGTATATATAACATAGGTAAATTTGAATATTTTCCATGTAATACATATATTTTATATAATATCTGCTAAATGGTAAATGTATATGTCTATTTGTATTATATATTTAATATTTTATATATTTATCCCTCAAAGTATTTAAATAAAAATATATGTGTTTATAATAATCATATACATAAATGATATAATAAATATTTATAATCTATATATCCATATAAACACAAAAATATTTTTTAACCTCATTTCACTAAAACCTCTGAAGAAATTACTATTATTGTACCCATTTTTCTGTTGTGAAAAGTCACGGCTTAGAAATGAGCTAGTAAGGGAGAGTGCCACAGCCAGATTTGAGTATCTCACTCAAGGGCCTCAGTGACAGAGCATAAAGATACAGATATTATTCCACTTGCAGCTGGAAGGCAGTGAAGGAATCTCATGAAGAAAAACATAAAATCATAACTTTTTTAGAGATTAAAATTCCAAAAAATTGACAACAACAAAATCACAAAACCGGGAGTTCTTAACAAATCCGCTATAGGAGAGAGAGGATCAGAGCCTCACAAAGGAAGTGCTGGAGTCTAGGCCTCAGCATCTCATTCCAGAGTCCCATTCTACCACTGTTTTATATGCCACAATTAAACTACAAATACATTCCATCTCATCACATTCATTCTAGTTAACATTCTAGCAGCATCCTAGCCCTTGCACTGATAACTACCCTACAGGTGGGGAGGAAAGCAAAACATGCATTCGCCATCGGAAACAAAAACGTACGTCTCATCCGAAGCTTGAGAGAACCTGAAGCCACTCACTCTCAGGCCCAAACCTCTAACCGGTAAGTGGTATTGCCACAGCCTCGGGTCCAGGCTGGCTGCCTCAGACTTTGGGCTGCCCCTGAACCTCACAGACATCCATTCTGCACTCACATGGTGTCCATAACAGGGCGCTGCAGCCACTGTGTTCAAAAAACCAAGCAAAGGTGTCCCAACCTCAACAAAACATACAATCCCATCGTTTTCAAACAGAATGAAACTTGCAACTTAACCTGTAAATTCTTAACCCCACAAGGACAGGTCTCTGATTTTGTCCATCCAGTCTTCCCATTATATTGTTTTTTGAACTGTTTTGTATCTTTTTAATTTTCTTTCTTTTTTTTTTTTTGAGACAGTTTTGCTTTTGTTGCCCAGGCTGGAAAGCAATGGCGTGATCTCAGCTCACAGCAACCTCTGCCTCCCGGATTCAAGCAATTCTCCTGCCTCATCCTCCCAAGTAGCTGGGATTAAAGGCATGTGCCACCACGCCCAGCTAATTTTGTAATTTTAGGAGAGACGAGGTTTCTCCATGTTGGTCAGTCTGGTCTCAAACTCCCGACCTCAGGTGATCCACCTGCCTCGGCCTCCCAAAGTGCTGGGATTACAGATGTGAGCCACCTTGCCCAGCCTTTTTAAATTTCTTTAAAAAACAAATAATTGAATTAGTAGGACTAAATGGATATGAGTGTGTGTGTGTGTGTGTGTGTGTGTGTGTGTGTGTGTCGGCAAATGTGTACGTTGGTGGGTATGTGTGTTGGTGGGGGGATAGCTGTAGCAGCAAAGTCAGTTGAGATTTAAATTTTGGCTTCTAAGACCAGTTTGGCTGGGATCAGGCTTTTGTACAAGTAGCTAAACTTGGAGCCTTTCAGAAACTCCCAGGACTTCATCTATCTAAGCTAGAGTGGCCTTGAGATCTGGAAACTGCACGGCCCTCGGCAAGGCTCTCAGAGGGACTGCTGCCTCTTCCACTAACTTCATGGTTTCCCCATCCACGCTCGAATACGAGGATCACCTCCATGGCCCCAAGGCCACCCAATCTCACTCTCAGCAGCCTAGAAAACTCCAGAATCAAAGGCCTTCCTCCCAAAAGGCCCCTCTGACCTTACCAAAGAGGCGACTCCTTACCTTATTATCACGACAGTAGCACCTTCTTCACAGGCCTATCCACTGCCCATCTGAGCATCTAAGACAAGAGCAAACGTCTAATGAAGGACGGAAGCCAGCTGCACTTCCTGTTTCGAAACTCCTGAGTCACAAACACTAGAGGGGAAAGAATACTTAACCACTTGTCTCTGAGTGAGCTGAGCCGCCTTCTAAAGCTTCTAAAGCTTAAGGAAAAAGGCCTGGTGGTCCATGAGATCGCAGTCAGGGTGGGGCAAGGCACGTGGCCACCTGAGCATTGGCCACTGGCCAACATCCTTGTGTGACTTTGGATGAGTCATTTTACCTTCGGAGCCTCATTTCCATGTTCTGAAATGAGGACACTGGACTGGATTGTAACTAAGAACACTTTCTTTTCATATTTAGTATTTAAAGGGTTTTCTTGGGTTCATCATTAAGAATTTAAGTTTTTCTTTTTCTTTTTTTTTAACTTTAAGTTTTTCATTCAATGGGTCGTGACTGAGCACCCCGGAGAGGTCTTGAGACTGGGCACTGCAGAGCCCTCATCTTGGTTCTCAAGGTGGCTGCGAACTTTCAGAGCTAAAGCCCCTGGTTTAGCCAAGGAGCATCTCCATGGCCCCAAGGTCACCAAATTCCACTCTCAGCAATCTAAAAAAACTCTAAAATGAAAAACCTCTAAAAAGAAAAAACTCTGAAATAAAAAAAAATTCTAAAATAAAAAAAATCTAGAAAGAAAAAACTCTGAAATAACTCTTCAGTAAGCCCATCTTACCAAAGGTGGTCCTTGTGTATGAGTGCAGCTGAGGAAACCATGAAGTTAACTGCAAGATGGGTTTTTACTATCTTATCAAAGAGGCAAATCCTGGGGCCCTCATCATGTTGGGCTCTAGTTGCCCATATATATATATATATATATATATATATATATATATATATATAATATATATATCAATAAAAAAAAGATTGCCTTCATAGTGAGAGTTAGCTAAAATGTTTTCTGATGTTAAAAGTAGGAAAAGAAAATCAAGCATCTCTCTTCTTTGAAACTGCCTTTTGTCCTTCCCCAAATAGAATATAAGCATTCAGATGGCAGGAACTCATAGCGGAGAAGACTGAATGAAGTATCTGAAAGGGACTCCTCACCAGAGGGGGCTAGGTCAAGGTGACCTCATAACATCAATGCCTGATGGGCATGGTGGCATGCCTGTAATCCTAGCACTTTGGGAGGCCAAGGTGGGAGGATCACTTGAGCCTAGGCGTTTGAGACCAGCCTGGGCAACATAGTGAGACACCATTTCTACGAAAAAAAATTTTTAATTAGCCAGGTGTAGTAGCACATGCCTGTGGTCCCAGCTAGTCTGAAAGCTGAGATGGGAAAATTGCTTAATCCCAGGATGTCGAGGCCAAAGTGAGCCACGATTTTGCCACTGTACAATCATGATTATGCCTGGGTGACAGAGCAAGACCCTGTCTCAAAAAAACAAAAAATAGAAATAGAATGTGCAAAATAAAATACCGATAATATTAATCTGCAATAATAATTGATAACTGGAGTAGTAAGTGACTTATGCCAATTATCTCCTTCAAGCTTCTCAGTCACCTCCCGAGGCATTATTAATCCCATGTAATGATGAGATAACAGAGGCACAGAGGAATTACTTCCCTGCCTGAGATCGCATAGTTAAAAAATAGTGTACACACACAAAAGAAAAATACATTTTGCAATGATACAGATAAAATCACGAATTCATATCAAAACATTAGACAACTGTCTTTGGGAAGCAAGAGGGAGGGCAGGGGTGGGAGTGGAGAGATAGAAGGAAACCCTTAGAACCCGGGGAGGAGGGAAGCCGGCTGTGTGCCTTAGGGACCCAGGTCTGCAGGGCATCGTGATTCGACAGAATCAAGAACTTAACCCCCGGCCCCAGGGTCAAATGAAAAAGAAAAAAAAAAAAAAGTGGATTGATAAAAGTTTTCTGAAATCTCCAAACGGGTCCACAGGAGGGAGACAGTGTGTCGGTATTTGAGGCGCCAGGGAAGCTGGGAGCCCAGAAGGCAGGAAAGGGAGACTGCCCCGAGTGAAAAAGCAGCAAGGTCAGAGGCAGCGGCTCAGAGAGAAGCCCCACAGGAGAGCGGGGCCAGGCAGGACCCAGAGGTGTCCTCAGATGGGCAGATGCAAGTTGCTTCCCCCTGCCCACCGCCCCGTTTCTAGAGCTAGTGAAGAAACAAACATATTGTGGTTTCCTGTGGAAGAGTTCACCTCGGCAACAGGCACTCACCCGCTCCACCCTTTCCGGGCACCATCGCAGTCTCCGAGTCCCCTAGCCTGCCTAACTCCACACGCTCCGTGGGGAGCAGGGTGGGAAGGGCTCCCAGGAGGAAGCTTTCTTTTACTTTCGATCACCACCCTCCACGGCCTCACTTCCTGTTGAGTGGACTAGCAAATTCAGCCCGGCTTGAAAAAAACACAAGAGTAAGGAGGATATCTGTAAAAACACTTCCCTCCAAAGAAAATTCACAACAGAAGGATCTCGGGATAAATTTTACTGCTAAAGCAGGAGGACAGAGATGACTCACTCAAGCAAAAAATGTTTCTTTTTTAAAGGAACAGATGCCCAATTTCCAGCCATTCAGAAGAGGTAGGTGGCAGACAGTTCATTGACGTGCAAACTAGAAACCCGAGCGCTGGACATGCTTCACTGGAAAGCATTTATACCGACTCCATATTACTTGCCACTCTTCCTTGCGAAGGGTCTGGGGAGAGGACGTTTCCCTCTCTTGATCCAAATCTCAGCGCTGAAGCCACAGACCAGCCCTCTCCTCCCTCCCCCAGGACTGAGTAAAGCCAGCCCTGTAGCTGAAATGCAGGTAGATTGTTCACAAAGGAGGAAGTGTTTTCGCTCAGCCCTACTTGGCTCAGCCCTGCTGAGGGGCTGAGTTCCCATCCTTGGCCTTGTTCTCCAGATTAGTAGTAACCCGTGTCTTTGTAGTATCGAGCCTGGAGTGTTGGTGCTACTGAGTGAGGTCTGTTCCCCAAGCTCTGAGCCCCAGACCCTCCCCTGTTCTCCTCTCTTTTTTTTTTTTTTTTTTTTTGTTGTTGTTGTTTGTTTGTTTGTTTGGTCTGTTGCCCAGGCTGGAGTGCAGTGCTGAGATCTTGGCTCACTGCAATCTCCACCTGCTGGGTTCAAGTGATTCTCCTGCCACAGCCTCCCGAGTATCTGGGACTACAGGCACCCACAACCACGCCCAGCTAATTTTTGTATTTTTAGTAGAGACAGGGTTTCACCATGTTGGTCAGACTGGTCTCCAACTCCTGACCTCAAACAATCTACCCACCTTGGCCTCCCAAAGTGCTGGGATTACAGGCGTAAGCCACCATGCCCAGTCCCTCCCCAGTTCTCTTCCATCTGCTTCTGTTTCCTGAGTGAGTTTTAAATAAGGGTTTTCTGCCCTTTTGTTTTCACATGTTATACGTTTTATAACCAGAACACCAACAATAACACGTTACATATATGTTACACCTTGACATGAACTATCACTAATTCTTGCAGCAATTCAGAGTATTGCTCTCCCATGTTATAGATGAGGAAACTAATGCTCAAACAGTTACATAGAGTCAAACACAGTCCTGCTGGGCCAAAGACAGGGATTTTTCTGTGACACACTAACTCCCTTTCTCCAACACTTAGGATTTGGAATGAATTATGTGGATGGAAGAGCAACAGATTTAAACTAAGAGTGACCAATGCACAAAGGTCAGAAGGTCCTTGGTTTCTCAGTCACCTAACAAAATGAGATGGCCTAATAAAGGCACAAGCTAATACTTACCAAGCCATTTGTGTATGCCAGACACAGCCACCTAAACTGGCTCATTTCCACTTCCGAACAGTTCTCAGAAGTGGATGCTACCATTGGTCCCATTTTATGAATGAGGACACTGAGGCTTAGAGAGGTTGAAAGACTTGGCCATGCTCATTCAGTCAGTGAGTGATAGAATGAGCTCTGTTTGTCTCTAAGACCCTGAGTGGTTAGTCACTGCCTAAACATGAATGCACAACCGTGATCTCAACCTGACCAACCTCAGAATTAACTGCAAAATTTTTAAAAATATGAGTCTTCAAGCTCCAGCTTTGGAACTCCTATCTGAGCAAAAATGTGGGAGATAAAACAGCTGGAGCACCTAGAATAGGACCTGTGCCTTCTGCAGTTCTCAATAAATAGGCTGTGGGCATGGTGACTCACACTAGTAATTCCAGCACTTTGGAAGGCCAAGGTAGGAGGATCACTTGAGTCCGAGAGATAGAGACCAGCCTGGGCAACACAGGGAGACACCGTCTCTAGAGAAAATTTTACAAATTAGTCAGGTGTGGTGGGGTGCGTCTGTTGTCTCCAGCTACTTAGGAGACTGAGGTGGGAGGAAAACCTGAGTGTGGGAGGTCAAGGATGCAGTGAGCTATGCTCACGCCACTGCACTCCAGCCTGGGTGACAGAGTGAGACCCTATCTCAATAAACAAATAAATATTCACTATCATGTTATTTAAGCTCACAACATCTCTAAGATGGCTACAAATTACTAGGCCTACATACAGATGACGAAATTAAATGCAACATCAATCAGCTTACAAATGGCAGGGCCAGTGCATGAACTCAGGAGTGTCTCACTTGAGAGTTTCTGCTCTTAGACCCTGTACATATCTCACTGCATGTACCCAGCCCCAGCCTTGCAGATATGGATGAGCTGCTGGAAGCATCTGAGAGGCAGTCCTGAGAATGTAGGGAGCAGGGTAGGGGGTGGGAGTCTCAGGGCTTCAACCTGTGCCATTTGTAAGGCACTGACCCTAGATTCTCCCAGTCTTAGATCATATATATATATATATATATATATATATGAAGAGCTAATAAGTGAATTATGGCCAGGCACAGTGGCTCACCCCTGTGATCCCAGCACTTGGAGAGGCTGAGGCGGGTGGATCACTTGAGAGCAGGAGTTCAAGACCAGCCCAGCCAACATGGCGAAACCCCATCTCTACTAAAAATACAAAAAAAAATTAGCTGGGCATGGTGGCACATGCCTGTAGTCTCAGCTACTCAAGCATGAGAATCGCTTGAGCCTAGGAGGTGGAGGTTGCAATGAGCTTGAGATGGCACCATTGCACTCCAGCCTGGGTGACAGAGGGAGACTCCATCTCAAAAAAAATAAAAGTAGTAAGAGTTAATAAGTGAATTATAACCCTCAGGTTGGTTCAATTCCTATTGTGAAGCACAGGCTCAGTATTACTTCATTTGCTCTAACCAATTTCTTACCCTCATCTTGGGATAGGTGTCTATGTGACTGTTTATGTCAGAATTAATCATGTGCATGGTCCTTAGTCCCAGGGAAGCTGAAAGACCTGGAGGTGTTGCCGTTGCTGTATGGACATGGAAAGCTGGCTCCTGCCCAGCACACAGTGAGGACAGGTCTGCTTTAACTCAATCTCCAAGTGGTTTCCACCCTCTTGAATCTCAGATCTGAAAGCAGATTTGGACCTGTAAGTGTCCCTAAGAAAGCCAAGAAAGTCCCAACCTCAGCTCAACTGCAACACACCCTTCCCATTCATCTGGATGTGACACTCTTCAAAGATAAACACTGACAGTGAAACCAAAATCCCCTGAGTGTGCATGCCGTTTGTTGCCAACTTGGGAGATTGTATGTAACTAACACATGGGCCAGGGTGGTATGGTTTGTGGATTCGATGGGGCCACTCCTTCCTCCTCGACTCTCTGGCAGCTGTCATTGGCTACTGCCTTTGACTCCTCCACCAGAGTGTGGCAAGGGAAAGGAAAAGAGATTCCATTCACATCTATCTCATTCCTTTCTGGGCCTTGTAGGGAGAGACTCAAAGAGTTGTTTAAGACAAAGATTTTAGCAGCTGCGGTTTTAAGTTTTTCTTTTGGTATTGAAATGATTAGACAGTCATGGGGCGTTTACAATGACTGACCTCAACCTGCATATTCTGAAGCTTGTTGATTGCCAACACCTAGCCCTTCCGCTTTCTCAAACGAAACTACTGCAGACAAGAGCCCATACTACTGATTTAGAAAGGAAGAAAGGGGGTTTGTTGGTCTCAGATTCCAATATTCATGTCACCGACCTAGCTTTTCCAGAATTTTCTTTTTTTTTTTTTTGAGATGGAGTCTTGCTCTGTCACCAGGCTGGAGTGCAGTGGCGCAATCCCGGCTCACTGCAACCTCCGCCTCCTGGGTTCAAGTGATTCTTCTGCCTCAGCCTCCCGAGTAGCTGGGACCACAGGCGTGTGCCACCACACCCGGCTAATTTTTATATTTTTAGTAGAGATGGAGTTTCACCATGTTGACCAGGATGGTCTCGATCTCTTGACCTCGTGATCCGCCCACCTCGGCCTCCCAAAGTGCTGGGATTACAGGCATGAGCCACTGCGCCCAGCCCCTCAGAATTTCTTAAAGGTTTGGGCATAGAAGAGGTGAGAATCCTCAGTAGTCTTGAGGCACTATGTGCCCATACCCAAGAAATGGGGCACCTCAAACCCTAAGGTTAAGTGTCAAGAACCACCTTTTTAAATGTACTAATTGTAGTAAAATATATATACTATAAAATTTACCATTGTAACCTGTTTTAAATGGCATCAAGTACATTCACATTGTTATACAACCATTTCCACCACTGAGGAATCACTTTTAATGATATCATAACAGTGCATTTGTTAAGCACTGTGCAGTTTTAAAAGTTTTAAAGCATTTTCCTTATTTGATCTCATTAGATCCTCACTGGTAGCAACATTTTTTGGTCTAAGGGGTGGAAGGGCATGTGTCTTAAAGACAGGAAGACGTTAAGGAAACGAAAGCCCAGAAAAGCGAAGTGACTCTGAAGGACATAGCTACTGAACCTACATACAGCGCTAGTGACTGTTTCTTAAAAAATAATAATAATAAGGCTAGGTTCAGTGACTCTGAGCACTTTGAGAGGCCAAAGTGGGAGGATCACTTGAGCTCAGGAGTTCAAGACCAACCTGGGCAACATAGTGTGTTTACCAAAAATCAAAAAAATTAGTCGGGTGTGGTGGTGCAGTGGTGGTACACACCTGTGGTCCCAGCTACTCAGAAGGCTGAGGCATGAGGATTGCTAAAACCCAGGATTTTGAGGCTGTAGTGAGCTATGATTCCATCACTGCACTCCAGATGGGATGACAGAGTGACAGCCTGTTTAAAAACAAAAAAAAAACAAAAATTGGGAGGGTTATTCCTTGAAACAGGTATTTTCTCCATTAGGCTTCGCTCCTCACTTTCTGTAAAGAAAATTCCTTATTTTTTCTCCATAAAAAGAGGATTTTAAGAATGTCTGTAGTGGTGACAAAACACATTCACTAAAAAATGAATAGCCAATTATTTCTTTCCTTGAAACTGTTAGTGATAACACTACATATTCTCAGTACATCTAGAAGATGAGTTTTAAAATTAACTTTTAAAATTAACTTTTGTGGTTTGCAACATTATGACACAAAATCTTAGTTTCTGAGAAAATGAGTCCTCTCTCACCTGATATGACATGTTGTTGTGGGGGACCGGATATTCTCTGAGTTCCCTTTTTCAAAAGATACAGTTAAGAGTGAAGAGACAAACCGCAGATTGGAAGAAAATGTTTGCAAAACAAAAGACTGTTACCCAAAAGTACACAAAGAACTCAAAGTTCTTTGCATCACGGGTTGGCAAATCATGAGATTAAGAGATCGAGACCACCCTGGCCAACATGTTGAAACCCCTTCTCTACTAAAAATACAAAAATTAGCTGGGCATGGTGGCATTTGCCTGTAGTCCCAGCTACTCGGGAGACTGAGGCAGGAGAGTTGCTTGAACCCAGGAGCCGGAGGTTACAGTGAGCTGAGATCATGCCACTGCACTCCAGCCTGGAGGCAGAGCGTGACTCCATCTCAAAAAAAAACCTCAACCATACTGTTATCCAAAAATATACAAAGAACTCTTAAGACTCAACAGTAAGAAAACAAACAACCCAATTGAAAAGTGGGCAAGAGCTCTAAACAGACACCTCACCAAGAGATACAGATGGCAAATAAGTATATGAAAAGATGTTCAACATCATCTGTCATTTGGGAATTGCAAAATAAAACAACAAGACATACCACTACTTACCTGCCAAAATTACTAAAATCCAAAACACTGACACCACCAAACATTGGCAAGGATGTGAAGTAACAGGAACTCTCATTAATTGCTTGTAGGAATGAAAACTCATACAGACCCTTTGGAAGAAGCTAGCTTGTTGTTGTTGTTGTTGAGGTGAAGTCTCACTCTGTTTCCCAGGCTGGAGTGCAGTCGTGGGCGTGACCTCGGCTCACTGCAGCCTCAGCCTACCAGGTTCAAGTGATTCTCCTGCCTAAGCCTCCCAAGTTGCTGGGACTACAGGCATGTGCCACCACACAGGCTAATTTTTGTATTTTTAGTAGAGACTGGGTTTTTCCATGTTGGTCAGGTCGGTCTTGAACTCCAGACTTCAAGTAATCCACTCACCTTTGCCTCCCAAAGTGCTGGGATTACAGGGGTGAGTCACTGCGCCCAGCCTTTTTTTTTTTTTTTTTTTTTTTTTGAGACAGAGTCTCACTCTGTTGCTCAGGCTGGAGTGCAGTGGCGCAATCTTGGCTCAGTGCAACCAACCTCTGCCTCCCAGGTTCAAGCGATTCTCCTGCCTCAGCTTCCCGAGAAGCTAGTATTACAGGCACGCGCCACCACGCCCAGCTCATTTTTGTATTTTTTTTTTTTTAGTAGAGACAGGGTTTCATCATGTTGGCCAGGCTGGTCTTAAACTCCTGACCTCACGTGATCCCGCATTGGCCTCCCAAAGTGCTGGGATTACAGGCATGAGCCCCCACGCTTGGCCAATGCATATGCTTACCACAAGATCCAGCAATCACATTTCTAGATATTTACCCAAATTAGTTGAAAACTTATGCCCATGCAAAAACCTGCACCTGAATGTTTATACCAGCTTTATTTGTAATTCATAACTGCCAAAAGTTGAAAGCAATCAAGATGTCCCTCAATAAATGAATGGATAAACTATGGCACATCCATACCATAGATTATTATTCAGCAACAAAAAGAAATGAGCTATCAAACCATGAAAAGACATGGAAGAGTCTTTTTTCTTACTGTGTGAAAGAAGCCAGTCTGGAAAGGCTACATACTGTATGAGTCCAACTATGTGACATTCTGAAAAAAACTATAGTGACAGTAAAAAGATCAGTGGTTGCTAGGGACTCAGAGCAGGAAGGGTGAGCAGGTGCAGCACAGGGGATTTTTAGGGAAGTGAAATTATTCTGTATAATATTGTAATGGTTCTACATGGCATTATTTATTTGGCAAAACCAATAGGATGTACAACACCAAAAGTGAACCCTAATGGAAACCATGGGACTTTAGTTCAGAATAATGTATTGATGGGATTCAGGATGTGCTACCACAAAATATGGCACCATGACTGATAGGGTTTGGATTTGTGTCCCCACCCAAACTCATGTCCACTTGTAATTCCTAATGTTGGAGGTGGGGCGTGGTGGGAGGTAATTGGATCATGGGGATGGTTTCTAATAGTTTAGTGCCATCCCCCTAGTGCTGTTCGCATGATAGAGTGCTCACAATATCTGGTTGTTTAAAAATGTGTGGCACTGGCCCGGCGCAGTGGCTTATGCCTGTAATCCCAGCACTTTGGGAGCTGAGGTGGGTGGATCAACTGACATCGGGAGTTCAAGACCAGACTGACCAACATAGTGAAACCCCATCTCTACTAAAAATACAAAAAGTAGTCAGGCGTGGTGGCAAGTGCCTGTAGTCCCAGCTACTTGGGAGGCTGAGGCAGGAGTATTGCTTGAACCTGGGAGGCAGAGATTGCGGAGAGCCGAGATTGTGCCATTGCACTCCAGCCTGGGCAACAGAGAGACTCCATCTCAAAAAAAAAAGAAAGAAAAATTTGTGGCACCTCCCTGTTCTCCTGCTTCCTCCTGCTGCGGCCCAAGAGATGTCTCTCCTTGCTACCCCTTTGTCTTCCACCATAATTGTAAGTTTCCTGAGACCTCTCCAGAAGCCGAGCAGATGCCAGCCGGCATCATGCTTCTTATACAGTCTGTGGAACCATGAGCCAATTAAACTTCTTTTCTTTATAAATTACCCAGTCTCAGCTATTTCTTTATAGCAACGCAAGAATGGACTAACACAATGACATATTGAACATTTTAAGCTGAAGGAATTTGCAAAAGCAGCATGTGCAGAAAGGGTTCTCTGACCTTCTCCTGAAGCCAGGTCATAAGCCCCTGAGGTGAGAGATGCCCTCCCTATACCTGGTGGAAAGGAGCGTCCTCATCTCTGAAGATGAAGGAACACAGAGGAATCTAAACAAACAGGTCTTGATAAGCTTCTGCCAGTGGGCTACACTTAATTCAAACTCTTTGCTCTAGCATGTTCTCCACGACTGTCCACCCTTTATCAAACCTACAACAAACTGTAACTGCTTCTTGGAGTCTTCTTTTCCTTCTAAAGGCTTCCATGTCACATAAAACTTACATTAAATATGTTTATGCACTTTTATCTTATTAATCTGTCTTTTGTCATAGGGTTCTCAGCCATGAACAGATTTGTCTTCCCCTACAATATCAGTATTGGCCCATCACGTGTAACAAATGTACTACACTAATGCAAGATATTAACAATGGGAAAGTGTGGAGAGGGGACAAGAGTGGGGGACAGAAGGTATATGGGAACTCTCTACTTTCTGCTCTTTCTTTTTTTTCTTTTTTTTTTTTTTTTTTTTTTTGAGACAGAGTTTCACTCTTGTTACCCAGGCTGGAGTGGAATGGCGCCATCTCGGCTCACCGCAACCTCCGCCTCCCGGGTTCAGGCAATTCTCCTGCCCCAGCCCCCCCGAGTAGCTGGGACTACAGGCACGCGCCACCATGCCCAGCTAATTTTTGTACTTTTAGTAGAGACGGGGTTTCACCATGTTGACCAGAATGGTC